ATGCCTATAATGGTTAAGTCGCTCCTGATAAAAAGTTAGGTGACGGCATTTAATTTCTCTATATGTAATATGATAAAGAAAACGCTTTTGAACACGCTCTATTCTAGTAAAGTGGACCGTATAACCAGGTTTCCCGACGACGCAACAATATTCTAAAATGCTGCTGCGTACGAGCGAATTATAAATGTGAATCATTAAATAAGTATTATTAAAAATATTCATTTGTCGAACTATAAATCCTGATAATTGTCATGCTTTTTAATAATAAAATCAAAGTGATATGTAAACGAAAGAGAACTGTCCATAATAACTACCAAATCACGAATATTGTTTACTTCCGATTGAGGTAACCCGTTTATGGAATATGTAGTAGGAAATAGGAAATACGTGAAATTCACTGGGAAAAAAAACCCAACGTTTGCTAACGTTTAATGACATAAGATTTTCGGTACACCACTCGCTTAGCTGGTTAAGATCATGCTGTAAACAAACTCTGTCTTATATAAACACATATATAAAATATAAACACGTTGTATCATTTGTCGACTTCAAGTCAATAAATTTAAGTACACGAGGCGTGGCGATCGTTGCCCAAACAAATCTATATACTTACATATTTATCGCTTTCAGATAATCGTTTCGGTTCTTAGTTTTGATATATACACATACCTATCACAATTTAAATATGCAAATGTTCTACAACAAGGGTTATTACTCTAAAACAAAATGAAGGAATGGAAGAACAAATGCTAATGAAGTAACGAAGTCCGTAACTTAGTGCTTTTAACTTTAAAAATGACGCTAGGTTATAAAACAAAAATTGTACAAATACAATTATAAAAAAAAATGTATTTGTACAATTTTTGTTTTAAAACCTGCCGTGAGTAAATAATATTAACAATGAAAAAAAAAACCATTACAGACATTTTTAATGTACAAGTATTAGAATTATATGTTAAAATTATTAATTAATAAATTCTGCGTCAATAGGAAATTTCTTTTTTTAGACATAAGTTCCTTTATCACAAAAACATGTGCATAAAAAGCAAACTTCACGTCGGAAGGTCCTTATGTGAATAAACTATTTATCCTTGAACAATACACGTTGATACAAACAGCGAAATTCCACTTACATAGTAATGGATAGATCACGTTGAATAAATAGATAACTGAAGCGCTGACAATGTCGCTTCCTTAGTGCAGACCTTGTACGTAACTGACAAGTTTACGAGGCGTAATATCCAGCATTTTATCATACATAACGTAGGTAGCCGTCAATTAAATAAATGATAATCTACAAAGTTTGTTTGCTCATTGTAATAAAATATTTTACATGAGTAAGAAAAACTGATTTAATTAGTAATGAGAGTCTCATAGGGTGTAGCTCGGATGTAATGAGAGACTCAAACACCCAGACACACGCAGGCTTTTACCAAAAATTTTACCCAAAAATGCAGACGAAACATATAAGTATAACTTTCCTTCTGTGTGTACGGACGGAGCAGAGGAGCCAGCTAATAAGCTGTTTACTGATGAATGCATCAGCAAACCTAAAAGAAAGGTGGAAGTATCAGTTATCTTGCAGTAATTTTACTCGAAAACGCAATATTTCCTACATTACTTTAGACAACGGCTAACAGCGTTTGTGAACAATAATTTAATGACATCATAGCGGCTTCTGCATGTGTCGTCTCATGATTGATCATACTTTGATGACAGTTTCTACACTTATAAACCCCTATGTAAAATTTATCCGAGAAAATATTAATAAAATACTACTCAATTTTCGGAGTCGATGTATTTCACAACAGAAATTTATAATGCAATATTTTTCTTCATATCGTGAATTTTTCATCATAATATCCTCCAGATCCGGGACAATTATTTGTGGATCCCAATATAAGGGCAGAAGGATAATAAAGATGATGATGATTTTAATAGAAGATTACCACTGCCTATGTAAATCACCAGAGGAGTTTCAAATGCGTTGCTTTTTTTGGGCTCTCTCCTTGATGGTCTCTAAGTCGTATCGGTCTGGAAATACTACTGGTGACAACGAAATACAACTGTGTAGGAGGTAGTAAGAGGCAGAAAATTCCGTTAAAAACGCAAGGTGGTATCGACGGTATTTGAATTTCCACAAGGCCTAAAGGTCAAGACGTCAATTAATTTCAAAAAGCTCCACGTTGGATGCGTTCAAATGAAAAGAGCTGGTACAGGGGTGTCTCAACCAGATGTTACATGACAAAACTATTCCATATGTGTATTGTCTTGATCTAGTGTGGAAACCATTGTTTTTAGAAGCCAACTTGCGTTTCCTTTCTAACCGGCTGCGAATATGATCGTTGCTCGATAATCTAACACCAAGAATTTCGATCGAGGAAGTACGACACATGGTATCCTGTTGGTACACGTTGAAACTTATGCCTTACTTGGTGTAAATGGTTCTAAATTTAGTTGGACCTGTCCTAAACTTCGCTTAACGAAACCTCTCATTACTGAGACATTTACTCGGACGATATATAGAGCAACAGCAGTACTTTCATCCACATTTGTCCCCATATGTCTCTTATAGTACGATGTAGAAAATATTGTTTCATCAGACATAATGATAATTGTCATTGACCCAAATTGGTAAATTGCTAAACTGGTTGTTTTAAACAAAATGACGTGTCAATCGGATACAACGTTGATGTGACCTTAAAAACTGTCCTGCCTCGAATAGTTTTGTGTCATTTAGCTCGCCAGTCGCATTAACGCTACCAAGACATCATATTACCGGCTTCAAGCAGATAATATCATCTACAAAGGTTAAAACAAAGGTAACAAGAGTAATTACTGCGACTGTAACTGATTCTGGAAAATTCCTTCTGGGTATCATAATATTACATCGGACGAAAGTTCGTAAAACATGTCAACCGGATAGCTTTCGAACATATTATTAACCATCCGAATTTAAACACGATCAATAAATGAGATCCGTGATAGCTCAGTATCCTGGCGCTCGCCTTTAATTCAATTTACTTGAGCAACCTGAGTTCGATTCCCGGTGTCATCACCAATGAAATTTTACAATTTTAACCACCCGTTGAATTATCACGTGCTCAGTGGTGAAGGAAAACATCGTGAGGAAACCTGCATATTTTTGAAATAATAATAAAAAAATATTTCGAAAATATGTAAAGTCCGCCAAGCCGCAGTGGGGTCGCGTGGTGGACTATGCCTCTTTACAGAGGAGGCCAATTCCCAGCAGTGGGACATTTATTAGATGTCACTTTACAATAAATGAGATAGCTTTCTATAAGCTACTGATAAATTATTTGTTATTTTGTTTACGCGCTTGCGTTACAAGTGGTTTGTATTGTTAAACATGGAATCAAAAAATAGTTAAAAGTAAAACAAAAGCGCAGAATAGTTTTATCATAAACGGCGCTAATAAACTTTTAATCCAATATACAAATATGGGTCTAAAAGTTCATTAATGTCAACCAATATTGACATCAGTATTGAACCCACATCTTTTCATTTTCTATCCCATTTTTGTATATAAACAAGTTCAAAATTGTTATATAAATTGGTGGGTCCGAATAAAAAAATACAGCTATAGATAGGTTTATTAACTCTTGTCATACATCAATAGACTATTCTGAAATAAATCGACGAAAAAAGCCGTACGACAAGAATTTTCATTTCGTTAAGCCCCTACAAAGGAAATTTGTTATAACTGGCAATTATGCCGTCGATGTACGGCTTCTCGGACATGAGTAGTTAATAAGGGTCCATGGTCATTTATTATAGTGATTTCATTTCCTTTGAAGTCTAACGTTCACGACAAAATTTATTTTTATCACAGAAATCAATTTTGTTCGAACCGACAGTTAAAACACTTGTCCATCCGTGGGTACGTATTTCACATACAAACCTTGAGCCCTGAATGACGATTAACCTAAAGTAAGTAATGCCACTGGGTCGCAGGAACAAAAACTATTAGTCATTGGAAGTTAGATTCAAAATGGAAAACAGCCAAGAAAACGAACAAGGACAAAAATATACCGTAACAATATGAAAGTACAAGTTTAGAACGTCAAACAGAAATTCAGGCTATTATTAAAGGTCCCAGGTTTGAAATTGATAAAATTTTAAAGGAAGTGATTTTAAACTATACTGATATCTTTGAATTAATCACCACTTTATTTAACACGATTTTAATATTATTTTTCTAACAATAAAATTGTAAATTGCATACATATTAATCATTAAAATTACTTTATCATCTCATTTTATAATCAAGAGCAAGCTAGAGTCAAAAACACGTAATTTTTAAGCGCTTGTCGTTCTTTTTCCTGTCTGTTATTTATTCGGGCTACTGTCCGTAAATTCTCTTTTCGTAATCTTTTGAACAGTTGCTCGATAATTTGTAAGTTCTATTTGTACACGTGTACGCAATTCACAGGCGTGTACATGTGTACCATAAACAAAAACAGATATTAATATTAATTGCAGATTTCCATTCACTACAATGCTTGCACATTATCTTTGTTGTTCATTTCATATCCATATACACATACGCACTTGAATTTCGAGTAATATTTGCACCGCCCTTAAGCATATCACCATTCAGGTCGACACACGTCTAGAGCGCCCTCTACTTATTCGCCCCCTTCCTCGCTAAAGATTCGTTTAGCCAGTGGTATATATATATTAATATTGAAAATAGGATTTCACTAACGACATAATTATTTAATGAAAATATTAATGCCCTAACAATATAAATTAATCGATATTCCATTGTGTTAATAAGATTTTCCAAAATATAACAGAAATATTTACATAAATTATTCTTTTAATATATTTAAAAATATTACCGAATCATTTACACGACCCAACCTTCACATACGAACGATACTGACTGTGCAATAATCAATGCAGACGAATCCGACACATAGTCGCCTATTACGAACAGTAATAATTATCAGGTAGGCACGTAAATTACACAAACGATGCACGCTAATAACGCACGGAGAAAAAGTGCTATACTATTAACGGAGCCTCCAAACCGGAGCCTCACAGTCAGATGGTCATTTAGGTTCGTTAAGGTGACGTAAGGGAATAACATGCATATGTTGGTGTGTTGCGAAAGTTGATCGACTCCGAACGAGTCAGTGTTGAACGTGAGCGGCACGGCGCGGCCGCATACGTGTGTACAAGTCCAACATTACTGAACCCCTAATGATTGGTGCGTTTCCATTTTACCGTTAGACATACACAGTGTGGTAATAAAGCCGGCTTACATTCGCGCACTATAAGCAGAGGCCGCCGAAACCTGTAAGTGCGGAACACATATCGGTATACCATACACGAACTGCCAGCGATTCTTTTCTCAATTGAAGACATATTTTCCGAAATTTCTTACGATGAGTCAAGACTTCAGGGCAATATTATTATTTTATTGTGTGGTGGTTGTGTTGGACGAACAAAATAATATTTATAGCGTACACGGAATGGCCTCTGTTGACCCGGGAGATATCTTACAAGTGCTTTATTCTGTCTGCGAAATATTTTAGATAAATTGCATACATAGGTATACAAATAATACTGACTCAACACTTTTGCGTCTTCTTTGAATTACTTGATATAATTACGACTGGTTGCTATGTGCCCAATAACGAAATATCTTTTTAATGACGAAAAAGTAAAAAAACATGTGTGTAAAAACATGAGTCGCATTAGCTCAATGTTCTTCAAGTATAAGGTCATGCATTAAACTGAGCGAGCAAAACCAGTTTAAAAGTAAATCTATACCGATTGATAATAAATGAAAAGAAAAACCAAGCGCACGGCAATAGAATCTCCTAACCAGAATAAGCTGAAAAAGCGTGAAAAATCGTCTTTACTGTTATAATACACACTTACCAATTGTAAAATGTTTCGTTTTAAATACGCGAGTGGTCATTTACATTTTCTTTTAAAAATTTACCTTTTGCTTAGAAAAACATATGAATGTTTCAGTTTTAGTCCACCAATTTCTAATCCTATCGATTTTACAGAGTCCTCATGGCTCCAATAAATAAGAAAACTGGGTCCAGCTCCATAGGAAAAAGTGGGGCTGGGAGTGTTATCAGCAAAACACCCGCTGGAAAGTCCAGCAATGTTATGAAGTTCGGAAGTAAACAAAGCAATTCTAGCAGCTCTGCGGGGAAAACTTCGACAGCTGGCTTTGGCGACAAAAAGGCAAGCTCAACGCACTTCGGTGGGACCTCAAGTTCTAGTGGGAAGAATAATAATGCTTCTTCCTTTTCAAGCACTAGTGGTTTTGAAAAAAAAAATAGTGGTACACCAAGCTATGAAGGAAAACGCAGCGCAGCATCTAGTTTTGGGGGGCTAGGGTCCGGTTCCAAAAGTCCAAAAATATCCGGTGGTACTTTTATAGCTGCCACGGATAAAACTTATGTACCTTCTTATATAGACCCGAAAAATAAAAAATCCTCTATGAAGTTTGGAATCATATGGCTTCCAACTAGAAAACGTAATAAAATGAAAGATTCGGTATACAACCCATACGATAACAACAGGCGTGATCTCTTCAAAGACAGATCACCATCAATGTATAACTTGTAAGTAATTTCACTTTTTTATGTAAGATAGTGGCAAACGAGCTGGCGGTTCACCTGATGTTAAGTGATAACCACTGCCCATGGACATTGGCAACACCCGTAAGGTTGCAAGTGCGTTGCCACCTTTAAATAAAGTGGGCTCCGGCTACCAGACTCACCAGGCGAAACAAAGAAGTATGTCATTTCTACTTTACGCCGGTCTTCTGTGAGGTCGTGGTACTAACCCGGACGGACCTACCCATTCGTGCAACAGTGAACAATGTTGCGTGGCCTACCGTAGACCACTTCTAATAATGATTGAAAATGTAAAAAGAAGCTTCATGTTTTTTTTTTATAATCTCATTCTTGACCAAGCAATTCTAATAAATTCGCATTAATAGAAACATTTTGAGTTGGTAATATTATTCCAACGATTGTATGTATACATATACATTCATCGTTGAAATTCATTCAAAAAATGCATCAATATCATTACATTTTCTAAAATTCTAATTTAAATCTCCCGCGTTTTGGCTTTTAACATCTGTTTCATTCGGGAAATCTAGATGCTTAGAGTGATCGTGTTTTGCTATAAAAAAAAAGTTAAATGTTAACGTTTCAAGTCATAATAATCTGCTAATGGTATCATATAATAATATTTTCCAAAACAGTGGAAAAAATTTTATGTAAGAAAAATCTTTTAATCATGAAAAATTTTTAATAAAGTTGTTTTTTCAATGAATTTTGTCAAAACGATCTTTTTTAGAAAACTTATAAATTATTAATGTTATCATTTTCATCGATCATCTACAGGCATTGCATCTATTCTGTTCTTAAATCTATAATCATTATTTGCACAGATAATAACTCGAGACTCCAGTTATATTTTTAAAATGTAAACAATAGTTTGAAGGTGAAGGTAAAACACAGCGCAAAAAGACAGTGACCACTGATCAGCTTACCGTCTTAATCTTATTATCCGTTACTGGAGTTTGTATACACAAAGTTTAATACTTTATTGTATTTAATCCTTTATAAATTATTACGTGTGTAGGTATTATCATTATAATTTTGTCCATTTCACACTGTTTTGTGATTATTTATATATATTTTGTATCAAAAGAAAACTTTTTGGTCATATTATAATTTTATTCTGATTAATCAAAATGCAAGAAAACAATTTTGAAACAATCATAAGCACATGGCGTCGTTTGTCCGGAGAACCAGTAGATTCAACTACATTAGTAAGGTGAATAATGCCTTAATGAATAGTATTGCGATTAGGTATCGAAGCTTTATCGGCGTCTGTTTACATTTTTCCGTCGGTGTTAAATTGTAGTGTGAAATTTAAGTCTTTTGCATGGCTCAAGAGAGTGGCAATGAGTTGTTTTTACATCGAAGTTTATCAAAAAAGAAAGTTAAGAAAATTAAGTTTTTTGGCCATAAGACTAGTGGTTATTACGATTTATTTCTTTCAAGCATGTCTGGGGACACATCTAATCGTCAAACTTTTAAGAAGAAAGAGGAAGAAATTGACCTACTGGCATCCGATAAAACAAAATTGCCAGCAACTGTAGCTACAGTAACATCGGATGGATTGTCTTCTGACATTTCTCACACAGTTAGCTCAGAGGAAAAGCAAGAGTTCATAAAACAAAATAAAGAGGAGAGCAAAGTAGGTTTAATTATATTTTTTTATTATTATCATTAAAACTTTATGCACATAATTTTAACTTTAAATTATTAAAATGTTATCTAGTTTGTTAATTTGCAAGATTGCTTATTGGTTTAAAAAAAAAAAAAACTACAAACTGCAACCTATTTACATTTTACATTGAATTTCTACTACATCATCCATAGCCATAGATCAGAATACGCTCTAATGTTAATGTTAAATCCAGGGTACTGACTATTTTTAAAACTATTAATTCTGCATCTGATTGATTCAAGAAGTACTGATCAAAACTTGTCTAGTAGTTTTGGTATGTCCCTTACATAGAGTTAATTTTATTAATTATAGAATTCCCAACTGTTAGTAAAATGTAACTATTGAAATGTGGATGCTTTTTTTTTTAAATCAATGGCAAATTATGAAGTTTTTGTTTTACCAACTTTTGATCTAATAATTCATAAAATTAAATCCATGTGCTCCACCACTTGTAATAGTAAAAAACTGTAAGCTCCCTCTGTATAGGTGAAAACAAATAATGTAACATTTTATATATACAGCGTGTCGTTACCATCGCGACAATAAATGAACACACATATAGGGGATAACTTTTAAAATTGTATTAAAAATTTACATTCTTTAAACATCAATATTTACAGAGTTATTAAATTTTCCAAAACAAAGAAGTTTAGATCACCCTTACGTATAAAAATGTAACGCAAAGTTCATTTGTAAAGATCACAAAGCATATGAATGGGTTGAATGAATTTAAAAGAGACAAAACATACTGTTAGAAGGAGAGGCTTGTAATACGACGCTGTGGCGCGAGTTGTATAGGATGTTACAAATTTTGTTTCTTTTTTACTTAATTATTTTTTTGAAAAATATTTTTTTTTTAATTATGGATTTTGTTTAACGTTAATATTTTTTATGATTATTGGCAAGTAGCGTTAGACGTGTGTTCATTTATTATCGCGATGGTAACGACACGGTGTATATGAAATTGATGAAACTTAGTTTCAAGTTATAAGTATAATCAACTTTACAAAATTAAGAATTACATTATCTGAAGTTTTTAAACTGTAGTTACAACACTAAAAATGGTAGTGGAATAATTAATATTATTTCAGAGACTAAATTTATGACTTCTTCATTTCAGGAAGCAGCAGGGGATTCCTATGAAAAAGATGATAATAGTGATTATCTTGAGAACAAGGAAACTATGACGAAAGCCCCTGATGCAACATGGGAGAAAGATAATTCTGGAGACAAAGTTGATAGTGTCTATTTGCGTCCACCGCCTCCACATAAGGCTCGGTCAACTGCATCTACAGTGGAAGAAGAGGATTGCGGTATCAAATGTCTGTATTATACTTTACTATGTTGCGACTGTGTCCTGATGTAAATTCTTTATCAGTATTACAATGAACTACTGTTTAATGGAAGCTTTTGTAACTACCAAGAGTAGTTGCATTATTTTATATCTGGAAACATCTTTAACTATAACTTAGCAGTAACTTAATATGAAATAATGGAAAGTATTGTTCATTATTGGTAGATTTATTTTTGACTATAAATTATCATATCAAAATAGTAATTTTTCAAGTGTGCCAAATTATGATTGTGTTGAGGAAGTGTTTAACAGTGTTTAATTTCAAAATTTTATAATTTAAGTTTGGCCTCTCGAGATGTAATGAATAGGGTTAAAATTATTTGGTTGATTGTTTATAAACATGTTTATATTTATTACAAATTTATATTATCATTGAAGTTATGCATGAAAAATACCTATTAATGAGTTGCTCAATATTCAATAAACTATACATACCCTTTAATTAGCATTATCAACATACTGAATATTTCACCACCATAATAATAACTTGTGATTCTTTAACAATATTGAATCTCCCTAATTATTGAGTAAGTAATTAATCTATCATATTTATTAATTTATCTCTCACACTCATATCTAATAATCTTTTAGTAATATTCCAGTTCCAGGATATGATAAACCTAATGTTAAGAAAAATAGATACAATCTTAATGAAATAGGAATAGAGCACAATTTCGATCAGTGATTTTGTTTTTGTTATTCAATTGTTTTTTTACACCTTACATTATAGATTACATCCTGAAAACCTATAACTAAAACATTTGGGCCATTCCTAAAGCAGCCTCAATTTATTGTGATAAGTATAGTTTGCATATTTTTATATTCCTTAGATTTTATGTAAGTAAGTGATATTTAGTTTTAATACAAAAAATATATATATTCAAATATTGTTTTCTATGAAAATTTTTCAAGTATCCTCATAAGTTAGTGATCTTTGTTACTTTACCTACTTATCATTGTAAAGACTATGGTAGAAAGTGTCATCCAGTCTATAAAAATTAATTAATGATCTTTAAATGGCTCATAATTGCATGTCTAGCCATTTTGTCTGAAATTTCTAGTATGAATGGTCAACATTTTTGACTTAGACTTTGCCAATGTCTGACTTTCTCGTCATAATAATTTATTTGGACAGATGATGCTTAGACTAAAAGATTGACATTTTTATAACATTTACAAGGTAACCTTTGATATTCCTATTGATAACTCTTAAACTTTCTCCGGCAAACTGGAGTCAGCATTTAAATATTTAATACCTAGGGATATATATATAGCTTTATAAAATTTTTATAATCATATACATTTTGTATGGACTAATTAAAGATAAATAAAGACACGAAATTATTGTTTTATTACCTTAAACTTAAAATTATGTAATATTCAGAAATTATTAAAGTATGTCAGAATTGTATCAAAAAGACATGCGTACAAGATGAGTTTGGCCTTTGATTGATCACACACATTAATACCACATGATCTCTTAAGCTGACTTGGGCTGTCAATCGGTCGAAATTCTTGTTTAGTAATAGGAATGGGAGTAGAACAATATGTCCACCCCATTTCCTTATTCACTCCCAGCCGACCTGGGTATGAGGGATAAATTTAGGTTTATGTAATGCAATAGTCGTTTGTAGGATATATAAATAAGACGGTTGTTTAAAAAACATGTAAAGAACGAGCAGTCGATACTGACTGATTGAATTTATAAAAACTGAAAATGTTATGGGACAAAGTCTTTCGATATGCCAGAGTCAAAATACGATCGGAAGATTGGCAATAAAAACTGTTAAGGGCATGCAAGAAGTCCACAATTACCAATACTGTCACTGTAATTCTCAGTGTGATGACATAGGCTGTAACTCTGTTGTCTTAAGTTGGTGTGTTGTCCAGAACGAAACCCGGACTGATAGAATATGTAGATATCTCTCAACAGGTGATTTTTGTGTATAAACTTGCGAAAATTACAATGAAAACATAAAATTCACATATCTTTTCAACCGACTTCAAAAAAGGAGGAGGTTCTCAATTTGACTATTTGTTTTATGTTTGTTACCTCTGAACTTTCGAGTGGGTGAACCGATTTTTATTTATTTGAAAACTAGAACTTCCCATGTGGTCCCATATTAATTTCATTGGTATTGGATCTTGGCCTCCGGAGATACTTAGGGAACACCTGAAAATGAATTTAAAATGAGTACAGAGCGAGACATTTGAAGACCGTTTTCTTTTTCGTTAATTAGTCTGATGAGTGCGGGAATTAGCACGGGGCAGCGTATGCTATTTTCTAAAACAACCGCAAATGGGCATAGTTGACTCATGGTCACGTCAGCCTTGCGACGAGGCATTTTTTTCATTGTAAGATGGCAAGCGACTGTACACCTGATGTTAAAGTGATTGCCGCCGCCCATGGACATTTGGCAGCACCCACAAGCAGATGCCTTACCACTTTTTTATTAAGTGGAACTTAAAATAACTCACACTTGTCAAAAGTTAAAAACTACCAAGCGAGTAGACGAACCCTACTCAATGGAACTCACCAGACGAAACGCGAGGGTTATTATACTTCCACTTTAAGCCGGTCTTCTGTGAGGTCGTGGTACTTACCCGGACGAGCCTGGCCATTCGTGCAACAGCCGAGGCTGCTGCATGGCTCTACCACCGTAAGACCACGACCACACTTAACGCCGGTCTTCTGTGAGGTCGTGATACTTCCCGTACGGAGAAGGAAGATTTGCGTGAAGAATATATCAGCGACTAGACCTTTCTGAATAGTAATTAAAGCTGCCCAGTTTTCCTTAGGAAGGTACGTCGAGTCTTATTTTTCAAAGTTCTAATAAGTTCAAACTTTAAACAGAAATTAGCCTCATTTCAACACTGCCTTTCTCAAAATCAAAATCAAATGTATTTGTTCAACATAGGAGCATTACACTCACTTATTGATAGTCAAAACACTACCACCGGTTCGGAAAAGAAAGCCACTGTACTGAGAAGAACCGGCAAAAGAAACTCAGCGGGTTTTTTTTTTAAATAAGCAGTTTGACATAAATTCGTTAAAATACAATATAAGAACTCCGATTGGAAGAGCCTGGAGCGATCAGTTCATTACCAGAGTGTGTTATCATTTAAATAATCATTAATATTATACTAGCCTTTAACTATTTTTTTAAATTTAGCTATTGATGCATTTTGTTTTCTGGAATGCAGTGTCCCATAAAAGATTTACTTATTTTACGGAGTCTACTTGTGGGTAGGATCAATTTATTTTTGTTCCTAGTATTTATATCATGAACATTATTATGTCTTAAAAAATTATCCTTATTTTTTATGGACATACAAAACATTTTCAAAAATGTATTGAGCAGCAACAGTCAATACCTTTATCTCTTTAAACAAGTTTCTTAACGATTCTTTGGGGTCCAGATTGTAAACTGCACGAATAGCTCTCTTTTGTAAGATAAAGATTGTATTAATGTCGGCCCGCGTTACCCCAAAGCAGAATGCCATAAGACATTATACTGTGAAAATAACTAAAATATACCAAGCGAGCCGTATCTACATCAGTTAACTGTCTTATTTTTTTGACCGCGAAAGCTGCTGTGCTAAGTCTACTCGCCAGTCTATTAATATGGGGGCCCCATTGCAGTTTGGCATCAATAGTTAGTTCTCATGTTATAAACTATCCATAGGGCCGTGCCTTTCCAATTTGTTTATGAATTGGTGGATACTTACAAGCATTTTAAGGACAGATACCTCCATCGCCTGCAATAGCCATTACCAAGGGACCAAGGGTTTAATAATCAACGGATTTAAAGCAAAAACCTATGACAAAGGTAAGAGTATGTGATGACAAATTAAAAGATTTCAATATTTGTATACAATTACAATATAATAGTCAATAGTTACATCAAAAACAACCATCTATTACACATATTTTTAAATCACACAATGTTGGGCAATATATAGTTCCCATAAAAGTAAATGCAAAGTGACACAGCTGTTAGTTGATTTACAAAATTGTTGTATAACTTTGCTGCCATAATGTTATAGAGCCTATCATTTTTATGCACATAATTATAATATTTGCATAAAGTTGTAGGTCTGTGATACTTCCTAGTTTAGGAATTAGTTATTGGTAACTAAATATAAAGAAATTATACAATGTATTTATATAATATTCTTATGTACAAACGAATTGACTAAACAGTGCAGAGGTGCACTTATAAAATAATTAGCCTACCTGCGAACACATTCACAAATATTATTCAATGTCCAAAATGAAAAACATAATGTCGGTTATTTTAAACAGATTTTTGCTAATTAACTACTACTTTATTTATCCCTATTATAAAAAAAAACAATCTTTTTAATTGATTAACCTAATTTAAAGTACAATCAGCCTGTATTATATAACCAATATCACAAAATATCATAACAAGTTTTACTGCACTCAAATTATAGACAATTATATAAATAAATGCAACTTTATATGTACGGAAAAAGATGTAACATGAACCTTTTCTTACTTATTAAGTAATAAGTTGAGATTAGAGTATTTTGCTTAGAATTTAAATATTGTCAATTATTGAACAGCAAACAGTGATCAAGTAATTCAAAAAATATATGTAAATATTGGAATAAAAGAATTGAGAACATCTTTAGAAAAACAACTGAAAAACATTGAGCTTCAAGCACATAGAAGTATATTTTGCTACAGGAATAGTAATGAAAACTAATGAAAATACCCTATATTTCGATATAACTCGAGCATTATTTTGAAAACTTTTAACATGTTACAACAAATTAATACATGCATGAGTATGGAAATTATGCTAAAATATTTTGAGATAAAATTATAATTTATATAAATCCTAACAATGACATATAAATTCTGCAATAACATATAAAAAAATCAACAATATTGTTGTAATATTTAATAAAGGATTAATACATATTGATTTCTAAATTAAATGCCATCTATGAGAAACAAGTTTAAATGATTACTATTAATTATTAGAATTTTCTTAACGGCACAATTTCAGATTGATTCCAGAATTGATTCGCGTCCCATCACCTTACTAGCTATAGGACGAAACTTCGGTTTCAATGTGCGCTAATTAAATGTTATAAGCTCTAATATATTTATATATAAATACAAATAGTAAAATTAATGTACACTTATTGAATTTCATAACGCATTTCAGAGGAAAAATATCATTTCAATGTGAATAAAAAATTAACAAGCCAATTTAAGGTATTTAAAGGCCAAATACAGAGTTTGAACGGGATTAAAATATATTGAGTACCCTCTAAAGGAACTCTAGAAAATATAAAACCAAACGCATTTTTTTAAGGTTTTGAGTAGTTTTAAAGTGAGATCAAATAACAACAGATCGCATGATGATTGTGTAAAAAGGATATAAATTACAATCGAGGTGAGAAATTAAACTTTGAGTATCATGAAAGAACGCGCAGAGGCCTTAAATGCGTAATATTGTAATTATGAATCATTCATCACAAACATTGAATATGACATTTTTATTTAAATTATCGTCATGTAATTTAATTATCATCATATAAGTCCTCATTCTATTTTATACTCAATACGAGAATATACATAATACACTGAGAGTTTTATGGTCTATTTGACAGATGTAAATCTAATACAAAATACGAAAAATGAAATCCTAAAAAAATAGGCATTAACATCCAGATTTACAAGTGTCGGACGCTTGGGGAGCTCTATAAACATTCAAATTTCAGCTCAGTTTCAATAATATTCAAAAGCGAGTTGGTTGCTAACATGATCTCAATAAGTGATCACCATATATAAATATTTCCCTTAAATAACCAAGACAACGATGATGATAAAGATTATCAGCTTAGAAGAATTTCCTTAAGTTTGAGCTGTTTCCTTAAATTAATGGAAATTCAATTGGAAAAAAATTAACCTTTAAACAAATTGAAATAAAGTATTGTTAATTTTTTATATTCGGCACTTCTTCCTTTCTCCGCAGCTGCTTTAATTTGCATAGTTCTTCCATCCTTACGAATTGAAAAAAAAAAAAAAACAAGAATTCCATATACAAACAATTTTTAAATTTGCCAATAGTCAAAATCCCAAGTTGTTACTACTTTACGTTAATAATAATTGTATACATAATTCGGAAACATCCTTTCAAATATAATCATAGACAATAAAATACCGATAATATCATTTACCATTCCAATAGAGAATTTTTTATTCTTCATTGGTATAAGTCTCACTTCATTCGATAGATAATAGATTTGACGTACAACTTTGGTCTAGGATTAATTTTTATGGATGGGCAAGGGGTGAGCCTCCGTATTTATGACGTATTTATTAAGATCTAATAGGAGCCGGTCGTCACTGAACAGCAGATAAAGATACTTGAGAGTCTCCGAGAGGAAGAAAGATTCCATCATGTCTCGGTGCACCGGTCTCTCCGATTTCACATTGGCCAGTGAAGAATAACCATTCTCAACTCTGGCGTACTTCTCGAAGCCCTGGAAAGAGCCAAAAGTTAATCAACATGGCCGCTTTCAACCCTTTACGGCCCAATGGTTTGTGTTCGCAGACCGCTAATGTAGGTTTGTGGGTTCGATTCTCACATGTCAAAAAGGATGATGGCGAAAATTTATTGAGAGATATCCCAAGTACACTTCTACAAATAGCATAATAACATGTTGTGACCATCAACCCTGAAAAGGGTTCAAAACGATGGGAACTAAAATTAAAAATTAACGCGATAAATGCAAAATAGTTTAATTTACTTTAAATTATACTTGACTTTACAAGTGGGAGAATTTTATTTTCTCTGCTTCATAAAAATCTAGCAAGAGATTTAAAATAAAACCTAACTTGTATGGCATTAGAGTCAAATGGAAAACATAGACACATTTACTGTGGTAGGGCCATACAATAGTCTTTGCTGTTGCACAAATGGGCAAGTCGTTCTGGGTTAGTAACTTAGTCACACAATACCGGCGTGAAGTGGAAGTGTCATAATTTTCCGTTTAATCAGGTGAGTGACGCTTTATTAAAAGGTCGCATCTGCAACCCTACGGTTATTGAAAATGTCAATGGGTGGATCACTTAGCATCAAGCGAACCGCCAGCTCACTTGGCTCCTTCTCACATAAATTAAAGGAATAGAATATTGAATGAGTAATATGATTGTCTGTTCGTGTCCGAATCATGTATGGCAACATTCGTTTTCTTTCAGTCTTTTACATCAACCGCAGTGAATTTTATCCCATATGTTTTTAAAATTGATCTCTCCAGGCCCTTTCGAGTGGAATTAAATTATTGTATAAATGATGGTTATATTTAACAAATTATGTTTAACACAAATTGTCCCCGTGGTTTCGCTGGTTCTTCTCGGGTAATTGGCTTTTTTCCAAACCGATATTAGTGTTTTTTGACAATCAATAAATAAGTGTAATACTTTTATATTGAATAAAGATATTTGAATTTGAATAAGTATTTAAATTCATATTAGTAGTATAAGACTTAACTTCAAAAAAATGCAGCTAAATATCTTTAATTCTAAACTTTCTTTTATAATAATTTCTATGTATAATATACTCAGAGCTTTAAATTTCCATGCTTTTAGATACCATTCGTGTTTAAAAAAATATGTTCATCAAAGAGCTGTATGGAGTTGGCCATTGACATTTAAAAAAAGAATTCTGCGAGTCGAACTCCTACCTGGAATATCTGCCACCCCCAGTCCTGGTATGTGGTGTTGCCAGTTATCTGGTACATGTACCAGAGGCTCTCGATGAACTCTGGACGCAGCAGGCTATGAGCGTCTGCTGTCTTCGTGTACATATCGTCCGTTGTGCTGGCCTGTTGACGGTGGAGAAAGATCGATTGCAAAATTAAAACTTGAAACCAGTTAATTGTAGATAGATAATATTAACAGATAGATAAAATTTGTTGATAAAAAAGACGTTAAGACTTTCGTCGGTGTGGCAATCAGCCGTTTAGCTTAGTGGCTAAAGCGTAAAGTCGAGGCGACAATTTTTCCTCCAAATTTTCATGTTCAACCTTAAATGTAGTGATTAGCACTATAAAAATAATTATTTTCTAAGATAGTAATATCTCAGTGTCCGGGCGCTCGCTTATAATATACAGCGTGTCGTTACCACCGCGACAATAAATGAACACACATATAGAGGATAACTTTTTAAGATTGTATTAAACATTTACATTCTTTAAAAATCAATATTTACCGAGTTATTCAATTTTCCAAAACAAACAATTTTAGAACACCCTTACGTATAAAACTGTAACGTAAAGTTCATTTGTAAAGGTCACAAAGCATATGAATGGGTTGAATGAATTTAAAAGAGACAAAACATACTGTTAGAGGCTTGTAATGCGACGCTGTGGCGCGAGTTGTATAGGATGTTACAAATTTTGTTTCTTTTTTACTTAATTAGTTTGTTTGAAAAATATTTTTTTTTAATTATGGATTATGTTTAACGTTAATATTTTTTATGATTATTGGCAAGTAGCGTTAGACGTGTGTTCATTTATTGTCGCGATGGTAACGACACGCTGTATAGAATTATACTCTAGTAACCTGAGTTTAAATCCCGGTGCCGGCATTAATAAATTGTTAATTGCAATTTTATTTGCTGGTTTATCGGTAAACAAACAGATGTAGAGGAAACATGCATATTTTCATAAATAAATATTTCGAAGATATGTTATGTCCGGCAGTCCGCAATGGGTTCGCGTGGACTGTGGCCTAATTCACTCTGTAAAGAGGTCTTTGCTCAGCAATGGGACATAATTATAGGCGGTTACTTTATGGCCGAATGGAAGCGCACCAGGTAATTTCTGAAAAGTTGCAACCGGACGTCATACGGGTTATCCAGCCCATGTGACGTCCGAGAGAGTGAGAGAGATAGCATGTCTCAAATCTGGTCTACCTGAAATTCTTGCTTTTCCGACGTTGCTAGCTCTCGTACTGTCAGTATTATGGTGCTAATGTCAAATGCCTATCGCTAGTAACCAAATCTATCTGTAGATAGAATATTGTTTGCAACAAGGCAAAGGAGAATAACTTTTATCGTGCCACAACCATCGACGACCAGGTCCTATCCAATCGCTTCAACCCTTACGAGGAGTTGTTCCACCTCTGCATGTTTTTTATCACCGGAAGTGACTGAATAATTGTCCGGATTAACATCCGCTGCGAATGTGCGTTGAGTCGATGGATGCAGGTGGCTCAGGACGGTACTTCGTGGCAGTATATAAGAGGCCTACGTTCAGCAGTGCACTAAAACGGGCCGCAACGATGATGATAATAATAATCTACCGCCGAATTCCACTGACATCGATAACACCTAGATGTTGTATAGGTTGTTGGCGCCAGCGTTCCGGAAGAGTACCAGTTAGGGGCCTTCGGGTAGAGGCCGTTTCTACTCAAAGGCCGGCAACGTATTTGTGACTCTTCCCGTATTGCGAGTGTGCATTGGCAGCGATTTTCACTTACCATGTATGTAAGGTCACCGGTTCTAATTCTCAAGACGTTATTTTTTTTTTTTTTCGTAATTTTCAACCTACATCTAGGTTGATAATTACGAAAAAGAAAAATACCCGACTGCGAAATAGTGAACATTTTCGAAAGGGCCAAAATGCTGTTAGACCGTTTCACTACACATTGTTATATTTTTTTTTCACAAATGTCATCTGGTTGTCGCCGTGCAAAATTTTAATTATCGCCACGACTTTAATCACGATTGACTGTTGTATAGCAATTCGCTTAACGGACTAATCGGCAAAATCGGCCCCGCTTCGCCACAACAAAACATGTGTATATATCATGTTTGAATTTCCTATAATATTATCGGTGTTCATTGCGTTGTTATATTATTGATATTGAATGTTGTAACGCTTGTTTTTGTCTAAATTTTGATATTATAAATATCGAGAGTACTATGAAAACAAGCTTTTCTTTAAAATATTATTGAAAAGTCATCCACTGTTTTTTAGCAATTTTAAATAATTATAATTCTAAAGTCATAATGTTGTTATATTCGGTATATAGCTCACGTGTTTTACGCAAGCAATTATAGATGTCATGTTTGCATTTGTCTTTTTTTTATGTGTGAAAAAGTGGCAAACGAGTTGGCGGTTCAGCGAATGTTAAGGAATGACCGCCACCCATAGACATTTGCAACACCCGTAGGATTGCGAATGAGTTGCCACCTTTATATAGTGGGCCGCGGCTACCTCACTCACCAGACGAAACGTAGAAGCGTAAAACTCCTACTTTACGCCGGTCTTCTGTGAGCTCGTGGCAATTACCCGGACGGACCTGCCCACTCGTGCAACAGTGAAAACTGCCTGCCCACTCGTGCAACTGTTGCGTGGCCCTGCCACAGTGCGATAGGGGCATCGCAAGCGGGCTTACGAGGTTGAAGTGCGTTATCTCCGGTGCCAGGAACGTAGGGTGGGCGGCGTAAGTTAAGTAGCAGGTGTACAGCAGCTCTTCGGCCATGGCCATGTGCCAGTCGGGTAGGCCGTTCGCGTGGCCGAGCGCGAGCGTGCCCGGCAGGAAGCACGTCAAATGGTCCATCTTCGGGTTGAAGGCCTGGAACGAGCGAATAGAAACGAGCACTGAAACTAGACCAAACAGCTCGAGAACTTGAAACAGGCGCGTCGCATCGGAAACCGGAACAATTTCGAAGCGGCAAGGGGATAGGGACAATTTCAGTTTCTGTGTGTAGATTTTTTTACCGATATCCGTTCGTTGCGCGGTCTTAGGCCGCTAACTACACAGACATTCACTGTTTTATTGTTTTTTTTGTTGCGTTTTCATTTATTTGTATTTGTGCAACATTATTTTATAACTGTGTGATTTCATTAGTTTTTATGTTTTGTTATCTATATGCTGTGGTTAGACCGCGAATAAAGGAGTTTCTTCCATTCTAAAATGGCTGTAATCAACTCAACACAGCCACTGGTGACCACTAAAACAGTGGACCTGGCTGGGAGTCTGCAGTTAGAGTTCGCGGTCGGGAGCCGGGCGAGTCTAATCGAGTAATACTCACCTCCGAGCCTGCGGAAAGTTCACCGATGAACAGATACTTGTTCGGCGAGGAGCGCTTCGCTAGAAATTCGCGAACGCCTTCTATAGCGGTCATGTAGTCGTCCAGTAGACTGAAAACATACGAAGATATAATTTAATAATTTTAGCTAAATGAATTATTAAAGTAAAAAGTAACAGCCTTTATTTGCCTTGGTTTTAACACATAAAAAAACATAGGTAGAGAATGCCTATTGCCCTTAAGTCCGGCTAAAGTGATGATGATGACATATATAAGTATACGTTACGAAAACATGAACGATTCATTGATTAACATTGTAAAGTTAATGTGAGTAATGAATGAAAACATAAGTTATATGATTATCTTGTGTCCCTCTAAACGTACAGAATGTGGCCACCGAAATATAACCATGTTACGTGAGAGGTGACAGGGTATCTTTTGAAGACCCCCCCCCCCCCCCCCCCGGGGATAAAAAAAAAGGTGGTGCTGTAACGTAATACGACCTAAAGCGGTCCTTAAAGTCTTTCGGACAAGACGATTCAGGAATCGTCAGATCATCCCAGGGGATACGTCGTCCTGAATCCCCATAAAATTAATCTCCTAAGATGATATTTGTTTCAATTGTACGGCAAGCGGTTTCCCCGTCCGTCGTCGTTTTTAGAAATTATTACAGTGCTGTGTTCAATTACAATTAAAAGGATTCCCCTCTGCTAATTTAGTTCAAGTCCGTTAAACAGTTGCTGTATAAAGAAGACGGAAACCTACGTTTATAATTTCTATGTGGTTCTTCTGTCATCGATTTGTAATACTATATCTGTGTACCAAATTAACGATCGTCGGAAATTGATTTACAATTGATTTACGACTTGATTGAAAGAATCCCTTGGAGTATTATGTACTAGCCAAATGAATTATTAGAAATAAATACAATTACATTTATGTATTGATCCGATGGAAAGGAATGAATTATTTACATTTTTAATTATACATACAACTCAAGTAATAGAGGCATGTTAAAATCTGCTTCAATTACAACACATGGCAAGTGGCCGACTCAGAATCTCTATTGGCCTTGATTAAATGGACAGACGCGCAATTATAGGCTATTGAATAATTGAGATCGTGGCCCCATATTGCGATAGTTAAATACATTGAATTTTCTTATTAATTATAATGTTACCATATAATTAGATATGAAAAGAGCAAAACTTTGTAGTGAGGCTACAACCGTTTTTAATACTTTAATATACCATAAAATAACTCAAAAAATCTTTACATTCTTTTTATGTCCTACGGATTTAGTTGTGCTAGGATCTAGTTTGTTCAAATAGCCTTAAGCATGAAATAGTACAATATAACGAAGCTTTTATAAAGCTCAGCTTTTTAAAAAATGAGTAAAGTAATTAAAATTTGTAGAAAAAGTCCGAAAAGGTTGTCGAAATCGAACCCACTTCTTAGACATTCGCGGCCTGACGCTTTAGCCACTAAGCTAAACGGCTGATTGCCACAGTAATTTACGGATTTATTTTACATGTAATTATGGTTTTAATTCCAGATGTTTTTATTATTACAAAGTCCGTGGTCACGTGACAGACTGGGATGTTTCGTGATGTTTCCTAAATACTTCCGTGATGTCTTACTCAATCTGAACTACCGTAAATTTTTAGGGTTCCGTACCTCAAAAGGTAACAAAAAGGATTATATATATCCCTTATAAGATCACCCTCATGTAAGTCCACCGATTTTCTCAGGAACGCATGGGCCTAGCAAGTTGAGCAGTTGAACAAGCGCAAACATACACACACACACACACACACACACACACACACACACGCACGCACGCACGCACGCACGCACGCACGCACGCACGCACGCACACACGCACGCACGCACGCACGCACATTTGATGTCAGTCGGTGGTAAGCGGTACTCACTAGTTTATGGTCTTGCCGGTCTGGAGCCACTGTTTCAGCAGGTACTCGTAGTAGCTGTCCCCCCTGGCGCCGAGGGTGATGGTGGCGTGCGGCAGGAAGTGTCCCGAGTTCGGGTTTATGAATATCGGCACCAGCCCGTGCTTCTTCGGCAGCTGGTGGATCTTCTCGGAGACGGCCGCGGCGGCATCCTGCGCGACGGCCAGCGGTTAGAGCGAGACGGAGGACGGCGGGAGCGAGCGAGCAACAGACCCCCGAGGGAGACGGAAGACGGCGCGAGCGAGTAAGCAACAGCGGCCGACCCTCGAGGGAGACGGAGGACGGTCGAAAAGAAATGGGATACAGTGGCCGATCGTCGTACGCAGCTCGTGAGTGCTGCACGGGTTTGAATGCGATTGTTTTTTTTTTTTAATTTACACACGCTCCGCGACGGCCGACGGTTGGAGCGAGACGGAAGACGGTGGGAGCTAATAAGCCACAGTGGCTGATCGTCGCACGCAGCCCTCGAATATCGATACTGAATACGTCACCGGTTTAAACGCGGTTGATTTTCTAAATTTCGACTTGATCTGACGTCTCTTTCGGGCTCATGGAATAGGGCTAAGGTATCCTCTGTCTGTCGTTAAAGGCGGAATCCTGAATCAATAGACTTCCCGCAAATTTGCACAGGTCGTCACTCCATCTAGTGGCGGTCTATGGGTGAGGTTTATGTTTAGCAGTGGCCTCAAACTAAAATAATGATGATGATGATAATATGTACATGGAGCAATCCTGATATAACTAATCTAGACTGGCGTGGACATTTAATATTTTCGACATGAGAATAATAATCGAACGTTTATGAAATATAGTAAATCTGACAAAACACTCCACAGTAGATACGTAGGCTCATACCAAAACACAGAGCCACGCCTTACGACAAACAACAAATCGATAGCCTCGCATTTTGGAGAGAAAAGCTAGATAAATTTACAAAAGTCGCCGTCGCAAGGTTCTTGATTAATATCATCGAATTAATGCATAAGTGAATGTATCAGCCCATAGTTTTACACAAAGTTAAATAGTACCAAATCATACAATGCTTTACTTTGGGTAATGGTTAACTGAAAGACATACATAAGCTTAATTTCCTCTTAAAATTAGATTATATTATTAACCTAGACACTAGAACAACAATAGTATTTATCCAGTGGCCCCACTACTCGAACACACACCCTAGCGAAAGTGACACATTCACTGACCGCTACAATTGGGTCTTCTGCAAATATGTTATCTAGTGTATTTTTATTATATTATCTGTGATAATTGCTGTCTCTGTATTTTGTTTCCGGAGAATATTAACGCTCCCAAAAGGTTAAGTGGTTAAAAGTTGAGAGGTAGCATATAAAGTATTAAAGAAACTGTAATCATCTGATCCCATGGCAATAGTATGTCAATTTTTATTTAAAAATATAATATATAACGTAAAGAACATGATTTTTCAAAAATTAGATAACAAAATATCTATATTGCAATTATAAAGTAACCAATAGATTGTTTATATAATAGTAAATAGATTGTTTATTGTTGATGTGTGATTTCTAGTGTCAATCCGAAGTGAGGATAAGAAAAAGCCACAACTAAAAATTCGCAATAAAAATTATAACGACTGCAGTGCAAGCTTCGTATGACTCGATAACGCTTCATAATTCACTATACAAAAGTTATTCAGCATTTGCTTTAATTAATTGAATATTTTCCGTGCGCCTTTTATAATATATAAATACAAAATTGAGAGTTAATTTCACAATAGAAAATAACAAAACTAATAATACAGTCCTTTTGAATTAAATAACTTAAAATCACGCTGAGCAAAAGACCAATTCGCTGCATCCATTTTAGTAACAACAATATCATATAAAACGCAACAAGGCAGATGCATCAAAATAAATTACAGAAACCCGTGAAAGGTACATTCATAAACAGAATAATACAAATATTGCCTATAAGTTAACAACAAGGCCCAATAGTAAACCAAACTTCAAAGAGATTTGCGCAAGATTCAAAATACTAAAGCAACCCGGGTTCAAATCCCGATAACGGTACAGACGAAATTATTGGTTGCAATGTTAAGGTGCTGTCTTAGTAAAAATCTATTATATGAAAATATTTCGATTACATGTGAAGTCATACGCCCGTTGTGAGGTCGTATGGTGGAATATACCTTAATACCCCCTGTCAGAAGAGGTCTCCGCTCAATCATCAAGCGACATAAATCATCATCATCATTTGCAATCACCTTCAATGAAATAGACAGCAACGGTACAGACATTACAAAAAATCCAGTCAGCGAAAATGAAGTAATTTTGTATAGAAATTTGAGAAACACTATGTCTCAAACAGTTGCCAAGGCATTGGCTTCGGCGTCGATGGTCGTGGGTTGTTGGGATTCCCACACGGGACAACTATTTGTGTGACACACAGATAATTGTTTCTATTATCTGTATCTATATATCTCTATTATATGTATCTTTATAACTAAGGGCACAAAATAAATTTTAAACATAAAAAGAATAACACTATAAAATCTGCGGGGAGCCAGCACAAAACATCGTCAAACCATAAAGTGAATCTAAGCGTAGTGAATATACTTAGATGTAGTGAACGGCATACGTCATAACGAAAAGCGGGAGTGTGGGGGGGGGGGGGGGGGGAGCGGGATCCGATTATGACGTAGGCGTCTTCAAGGCGCGAGTGAATAGGCTTTTACTGAGCTAGCGCGCTTACCATCAGGTGGGATGGCGGTCAAGCGCTAGTCAATACCATATATAAAAAAAAAAGTGTGTACGTGTAACCTTTACGCGCGATTGAAGTAAAACTTCTTTGGCGTTGACGGCACATATCACTGAAATTATTAAATATTTAGTAACGCCATAAGTATATGTCATATTTTAAAAATATGACATATTACTTATGACGTTACTTCCGTCAGAAAAAGCGTTACTTCCGTAAGAAAAAAATCTGAGTCACTCCCTAGTCGCGCCTAAAGAAGTTTTACTACAATAAATAAATAAATAAATAACAGTCCGGCGACATAGCCGCGCCGGCTGCTTCACCTCGTAAGCGGGGTTGTCCGCGGCCCTGGACAGCTCCCTGAACTCGAGCTGGACCGTGGTCACCTCCGCGGTGGTGCTGTAGTGGGACCACTCGGGCGCATGCGCCGCCCTGGTGCCGAGGTTCACGTCCGAATAGGGGATCCCCGATGGCGAGGAGAAGGCCGCCATCAGACGGTCGCCGAGGTCTTTCTGGAACAGGCGCCGCGGGAATTTGTGAGTGGGAACATGGCTTCGGAGGCCCGGTTGCTGTCCCCTACTCCAAGGGTTGCGATTACTGGCCGTGCTTATGCATATAAATTTATTTAAAAAAGAAAAATGTTTCTCGTGATAAATTCTTGTATTTATGATGTCACAAATTACTAAATCAATCTATTTTATGGATTTATCGCTTTTTTTTTACATCCTGACGTTCGGTATCGTTTTCAACGTTCACGGTCACGGGACGGACTTGGATGTTTTTCAGTTACCTGTAGTGTAATCTCGAATTAAAATTATTTATGGTAACGATTTTGTAAGCTGAAGTGTATAAATTGCACTGCTCGAATGAGTTGGAAAGAATAATTTAAGAAAAATGGACCATAATTAGCTAATGATAATTGCGTGAAGGTTGCGGTTTGGCCACTAGCAATTGGTGTACTTCTGCTATTTGGGCTTGGTAAGGTTGTAAGCGACCAGATTTTATTTATTCATTGAGGCTTACCAACTAAATACATACAGAAAATTGTAAAACAAATACGTTTAACTTAATAATATATTAGCCGTGATAGCTCAGTGTCCGGGCGCTCGCCTTTAATTCAATATACTCGAGCAACCTGAGTTCGATCCCCGGTGCCGGCACCAATGAAGTTTTTGACTTTTAAGTGCTGAATTATCACGTGAAGGAAAACATAGTGAGGAAACCTGCATATTTTCGAAATAATAACAAAAAAAAATATGTTTCGCAGATATGTGAAGTCCGCCAATCCAAAGTGGGGCCGCGTGGTGGACTATGCTCTGATACCCTCTGTATGGAGGAGGCCTTTGCCCAGCAGTGGATCATGTATAGGCTGCCGCTAGTTTACTTACTCTACTAATAATAATGTTGCGTGGCCCTACCACAGTAAATACTAAATGGGTGACTCACGGCTTTGCTGAGGAAAACTTTGTCCTGTGTGAAATGGTAGTTGGTTAGCAGGGCGCCGAGCACTCTGATCGTCACCTCGAAGAAGTTCACGTCTTTATTCTTGGTGAATATCAGTTCGTCTTTTATCCACTCCTTACCCTCGTTGTATTCTGCAAAATCAAGATTGCGATGTATTTTCCTAGCTTTTAAACGATACACCCACTTTAATATATACGGCAACTTAGGGTCATTTTTAGGTATAATGCACGTTCACAAAAGCCAAAAAATGTGGCAATAGAAGTTCGATAATCTGTATCGTTGGTTTATATATCTTCCATTTACATGCTGGCCATACGGAGACTCAACCAACAATTACATTCTAACAAACAGTGTGATTTCTGTATCCATCTGTTTTTTAATCAAAATGCAACTTTTATACATAATAATAACAAATAAGAATATAGCTACAACCATGGTAAATTAAAATTTTATTATAAATTTTTTTATGAACAATTTCATACACTCGTTTACAAGATGAAATACAATCTAATATTAACAATTATCTATAAAACCGCACCTAGATTAAAAAAAGATGGATTAGGAAATCACATAGTCAGATCGCGTAGCATTAGAGGATTATGCCTGGCCTTACATAAAAAACAAGAAAATTTAACCACAATTAAAAATATTAAGACTTTGACATAACAGAGCATTCCAAATAAATATTGTAATTATTTTATGTAACATATTTATGGAACAAGAATATAATTTAATATTAATTTCACATGATGTGTTCATAGTCCATTCTAAAATGCACCGCTTCAGACTTAATACTTTCGATATTATTTTATGTAAGACATTTACAAAATAAGAATATTGTTTAATATTAATTTCATTATCTACTAGTATTCATGGACCATTCTAAAATGTTCAATTCCAAACCACTCAAAACCACTTCAGGATTACATAATTATGTTTGTGTGTATGCATACCGTCAGTTAGTCCCATGATGAAGGCGGTATCCAGTGCGTCGACTATTGTGAGGCCCAGTGAAAACCAGTCGTAGGCCATTCCAGAAACCGGTTTCAGGTTGTCGTGGCCCCAAGCGTGCTCCTTGTATCCCCTCCACGCGTGCCTGAAGCTCTCCACTACGGCATACTGACGTGCGTTCGTAGGCCCTGTATCATCCATATAACATATTTGTTAAGATTTCTTTACAATAACATGTAATAGTTGAAATTACCCATCCATAAAAACTGTGCTAGTGGTACTGGGCTAGTCAGCAACTTAATATTACCTGGTGATGTTACGGTAAATTTCAAATACCTTATTACACAACAATATTTAAAAGACACTGTGGCAGTACTATGCAACATATTTGACCCTTACATGCTCCGGGAAGTACCATAGCCTGACCAAAGACCAGGGAAGTTTAAGTAGAAGAAAACATTAAATTATATTAATTTGATTTTAATATATATACTCGGAACTTAAGTTGAAATTTAACATTTGTAGAGAAGTGGTTTTGCCTCTGCGACAATTTGAATTTGTGTTCTTTAAAAATGCTTTTTGCAAATGCAATATCCTCATTTATATACCAGACTACAAAAATAGAGGCAACAAAAGTAAAATAAACTTCTTATACACATGAATGTCATAATATATTTGACCTATAATGTAATGTGACTAAACACTAACTGCATGACTGTAGTGTATATGAGCCTGTCTGATTTAAAAAAAAAAACGTTTTTTGTAAATTGTCAGTCATTAGCATCTACTTAATGTGGTAATACTAAATATTGGTGGGAAAAAAATAAATAAAACTGTACCTGTAAAAGTGGGCCTGTCATTTGTTTCAAATTCAACAGCAGGCTTTTTGGCCTGAACAATTGCTGCAGCTTCCTCATTGACTAGAGAAGCATTATGAAGATTATCCTATAACAAGAAAAAGTGATTGCAGTAAAAATATGATAATATGACCATCAAGCTAACCATGAAGGGTAATTGGTAACAGAAAAGTAAAAAAGAGAGTAATTAGGAGTATAATTATATTTAAAGAAGAATCATTTATAACATAATTCTTTAAAAAGAAATTAATCAAAAAATTAAATCTTGCTTCTTTAAATCTGCCATTGTGTTGCGCTCAAAAATTATTTTTCTCAATTAAGACTGATTCATGTTTTATAACATTTATAAAAATGTACACCCAACAAACCCAGCCCATCATTTGTTTATCATGTTTATTCTGAATCTAATTTATCTCACTTTATAAATAGTATAGTTTCACGGTAGTAGGGCCACTCAGCAGTCTCGGCTGTTGCACAAATGGGCAGGCTCACAGAGGAACGGCGTAAAGTGGAAGTATAATACTTTCACGTTTCGTCTGGTGAGTGAGGTGGCCGGAGCCCAATTTTCAAAAGGTTGTCAAAGCATCTTGAATCAGATGAACCATCGGCTCGCTTGGTAACTTTTAACATGTAAAATGTCAGTCTTTATTGACATAAATAATGTTTGTACATAACAAAATGGCGCATTTTCATTGCGATTTAATTTTTTTTTTAAATCTTAATGTACCAGCATCTTTTTTGCGTAGTTATTGCTTCGGTAATGTTTCCCCATAGACAAAAAATATTTGTATATGAAAAATGCGCGTGGCCCTTAGGTAAACAATTACTAGATTTTCGGTCACAACGCAATTTATAAAAAATATAACCAATAAAAAATTTAAAATATCAAGTTAAAGAATTCATGTTCAGTAGTTTGTAGAGTTCCATACCCAAAGGGTAAAACGGAACCCTATTACTAAGATTTCAATGTCTGTCTTTCTGTCAGTCTGTCACCAGGCTGTATCTCATGAACCGTGATAGACGGTTAAAATTTTTTCACAGATGATGTATTTCTGTTACTGCTATAACAACAAATACAAAAAAACAGAATACAAAATATGTTTAAGTGGGGCTCTTATACAACAGACATAATTTCCTTGTTGTCTTTATAGATAATGGTACCCTTGGTGCATGCGTCTGACTCGCACTTCGCTGGTTTTTATATTACATTTTAATAGTTAGATAAAAGTTCTTTTCAACTGTTGTTAAATATTCAATAAAAAATATACCAATAGATTTTGTAATCATAATGAAAAGTAAATAATAACTATGATACAATTTACACAATAAATTATTATGGTTGGAACCAATTTTCTTTTCAAATAGTTTAAACATGTCTATAAGTTTTAGAAGCTATAGTTTTTAAAAAAAATAACATTTTGGCACACAAAAAACATTTCAAAACCCCTGCAAAAATGGACAAAATGAAATTGATTCTTTCCATCCATATTTGTATTCATTCCATTCATTATGTATGTAAGTAATTAAAATGTGGTGTTAGTAAGAGAAGAAAAAAAGAATAAGAATGGAATGCTTATGGACAGCTATTACTAAATATGCAATACTTCCTATATTCATAAAACATCATAAATTTAAAGAAAATTCTGAATACAATATTGTGAAAATTAAAAGTATAACAATAACTTACATGTATTGATTTTTTTTCACTCTTCTTAATTGAATCTGTTGATCCCACTTTAGAATTATACAATATCACTAAAAGTGTGACAGCTATGATAAATACTGCGTATACTAATGACCTTTGGAGACGGGATAGACGATTCCATTTCTGAAATTTTTAATTTCATGCACTATTAATAATTAATCCATGTGTATGTTACTAAACGGCTGGACTGATTTTAATGAAATTATTTGTGTGTCTTTAGTGAAACAAATGTAGACACACATCTGTTACATATAATAATCATATTTATCATTTTAATCATTTTAAGATCAATGCAACTTACATTAATAATTTATTTAATGATGTTTATCAAAATAAATATAATTAGTAGGCAGTTGACACCATACAGCAAATCAATATGCCTACAATTATAGGGCAATTGGAATAATTCTATCCACGATGTATATCATTGTGTGTCAGTGTTTTCCAGTTCTATGATACTTAAATGTGTGAATAGTCTTACCCTCAAAAAATTTTTATGTGATATGGATGGATCAGCGATGCCAAAATTATCCCATTTATTAATACAACTGTGGGGAGTGGTAGTGAGAAGGCCTCCTTCAAAATCAATTTGTGTATCAACTGGTAAACCCTTCATTCTGAGGACTTTTTTTACTAAAATTGATAACTAATTGCCATATTACATCTGTAAAAATATTTAATATTATTATTGCTTTTTACACAATATTATGAGAAAAGTAAATTATAAATAACAAAAAAACGACAAACTTATTAAGCAAACCATCAATTTCATATTTCTTATAGGAATTATATGCTTTTAGAAGTGATTTGAAGAAAGTATCACTTTATTGTAGCTACTGTTATAATTTATTTACTATAAGTGATTCTTATATGATTATTTACTTAAATTATAGACCCCCCCTTAAAACATATACCAGATAACAATAAAATAAACCTACATAAAATTTATATGAAAATGGGTGTTTTCTGATATCTAATATAATTGTCCGGTTAGTTTTAGTTTCAATTTTATCGCCGCGACTACTTATTAAAAGGTCCAAGTTGTATTAATTCGAAAGTCATCGCCATTCCTAAAATCGTATCAAACCTCTAAATACCGCAAAATTTTCAAGATTTTATAGAAAATAACCTTAAAGAAATATGAACTTCAAAAGTAACTAGTTAATTTGTATATTTGAAAAATGACCAAATCTATTGTGCTTAAGAAGAACTTTTTCCTAACCTTCCGTAAACAGTAGTATTAAACCCGTTGTTGGTCACTATTGATCTACAGTACATTACATGATAACATGAAGTATAAACCTAGAAAACCTAGATGATAGATAAATGTCAGTCACAGTCAGCGACCAGCGTCAATATAATATGTCGAACGACCGAGCTGTTGAAAAGGCACTACCTATTCAGATAGAGCCTTTTAAAAGAATCACAATACTTATTCTATTGGTTCCTTTACATTATTAGTAAGTGTTATTTGATATGCAAATAGCTAGTTCAATATTAAGTCTTTGTTTATCATACATTTTAATGATTTTATTACAGTTTGTTCCCAAATATTGTTTATGTAACAAAGTACTGAAATTAATAAGTTCATATAATAAGTTATAATTCTGTCTAAAAATTTATTTAAAAGTACTAAGCATAATGTTGTCATCTCCAGAATTGCTGTTTTCGGCAAAGGTAATTACTTAACGCAAATCCGTACAAACAAAAAAGTTAACAACTTAAATATTCTATGTACACATTCCTAGTTTTAAATTTTGATAACCTAGGCAATACCTTTGCTGCAATGAGCCGATCCATTAGTTGTTTAAAAAAAAGCAATACGACCTACCTATATAAACCACTGTTCACTGTTAAAAATGTCTATGGGCGGCATGTATTATGTAAACTTTTTTCAGCTTTTCCACCTTTTCCTACGGAAAACCTCTATTACGGAAATCCATACATTTCAATTTTCTTTATTTGCATCGAGCATCTAGTCCGGCAGATATTGCTCCAGTATTTTCGTTAGGTGGCACTCTATCGTAGCAGACTAGAGGATCGATTTAACGAAATCTTTCTTCTCTTCCCCACATATTTTTTTGATTGAGTCATTTCGTGTCATAAAACCATTTTAATACTATTCAAGTTTCTTATTTATAATATACTAGCTTTTCGCCCGCGGCTTCGCTCACATTGAAGTCCATAAATATCTTTCTAAATATCTTTCTTTAAAAATTATACATATATATATATATATATATATATATATATATATATATATATATATATATATTAAATAAAGATACGTTCAACCCTTTACAACACTTTTTTCCTATACTATAGCCTATGTTTATTTCTCAGGCTCTAGATTCGGTTAAGCAGTTTTGGCGTCAAAGCGAGACAGACAAAGGTTCTTTCGCATTTATAATACTAGCTTTGCGTCCGCGGCTTCGCTCGCGTTGAAGCCCTTAAATAAAATATTTCTTTAAAACTTATATACATTATTTACATTTCCTTTTTTCCAATTAAAAAATAGTCTATGTCCTTTCTCAGGCTCTAGATTATCTGTGTACCAAATTTCATTTAAAATAAATCGGTTCAGTAGTTTTGGCGCGAAAGCGAGACAGACATACAGAGTTACTTTCGCATTTATAATATTAGTATGGATTCAAAGAGGGAATGGAAGAGCGTTTATTCTCACTTTGCAGGCAGTCTCCAAATGGGGCGATGGAGATATTTTGAGATTCCATGCCACCGACACTTGATTGGTACTTGACACTGCTTGGCGTGTCTTTTTACCGTAAAAAGGTACTTATTCACCTTGATTCCAAGTTTCTGAAATGTGGCCTTGGATTGTGTCAACTGCCTTCAGTTACTTGGAATAATATGACTTCAGCAATCAATGATTAGGCGTGCTAAGACGTTCATAGGTAACCTCATTTGGTCCAACCAATAAAAGCATCGAGTACAGGCGCAGGGTAGCTAGCATCTCGATTTTCTACAGGTTGCATTTTGGAGTGTGCATCTGAATTACCCGAGTTAATTGCATCCTTTTGCGACCTTAGGGCAACTGGACGCTTAGCACGATTTCATTTTTTGATTGTTGACATTCCACGTTCCCGGACTAAGCGTTATTTTATGTTATCATTATGCGTACAAAAGGAGACTGGAACAATTTGTAGGCCTCTATCTTTCCCTCTTATCTCGAGCCTTGATAGCTTATTGATTGTCCGGCTTTTAATTCCATACACTCGAGCAATCTGAGTTCGATCTCCGGTGCCGGCTCCAATGAAATTGTTAATTTCCAGTGCTGAATTATAATGGGCTCAGTAGTGAAGGAAAACATCGTGAGGAAACCTGCATGTTTTCTAAATAATAACAAAAAAAATATATTTCGAAGCTATGTTAAGTCTGCTAATCCGCAGCAGGGCCGCGTGTTTGACTGTGCCCTTAAACCCTCTGTACAGTGGAGGCCTTTGCCCAGCATGGGCCCTTTTTTTACTATCTTTCCGCCCAATGTAGCGGTGTTAGCGTTTTGACAATCAAAAAACCGTTTAAAAACTTTTAAGTTAAACGGTTTTATTTTATGTTTTTTTTTTGTTAATTTTTTTTTGGTAATATTGTATTGTCATCTAAATTAAATTTGTGTACAAAATTTCAGATCAATCTGACAACGGCCAGGTGCTTACATTTCAATTTCTAATTTTGACCCAAACAAACAAATTCCGTACGGGTCGAGCTAAATAAAACCGTTTAAAAAGCAAGTGTAATGTTTCTATATTGAATAATGACATTTGAATTTAAATTTAATGTAATGTGTTTGTCATCAAAGCAAGAGTGACCAGTCTTTTACTGAGCTGGAATGTTTACCATCTACGGTTGTATCGCTACTTACTATCAGAGCAATCAAGCACTAGGCAGTACCTTATCAAAAATATTTATCGCTTTAGAATACTCAATATTCTTCAAAGTATTCTTCTTCTTTTTGTTAATGGGTTACTTTGTGAGTTATCACAATTCCGGCAATGTCAAGTTGTTCTTAATTTAATAATATTCACATTAAAATTGTAATAGATAAAAAATCGTGTTAATTCTTCTTCACAGTATATAACAATAGAAAGTGTGAAAAACAAAAGACACATTTTTTGCAATGATCATAAGGTACGGCATTAGGTATTCTATCGTAAGGTATGATACGGAATTTTCGAAGGATAATAAGGAGCTTCAAGTTTGATCTTTTCTAAGTTTTCTTATATTATCAAATTATCTCGTTACAATAAATTTGAAAAATTAAAATTTACCGAAAGTAACGTTACAGTGGTCTGATAAAAATTACAACTGGCCAAATTATTTCATATCGAAAAACTGTCATGTACTTATGTTATTAATTTTCTAGTAACCTGTTTTGTCAAAGTAATTGTCCTTATTTTTAACGTATTTTTGGGTGTTTATGTTCTTTCTGTTCTAAGTTTTAACCACAATTTGCATCATAATCACTTAATGCCTCAGTCTGAATATTGGCCTTTTCTTAAAAATAAACAGGATGATATCCAGTGTAGTGGAGAATCTTCTTTATTAGTATGTTCTTATCAAAATAATTTACTATTTTAAATATGATTATTAAGCCTGCTAGGTACCTAAAATTTTTCATAATTTTGTATTCACATTTATCAATAAAGTTACGTTTCATTCGATTTAACAATCTACATTTTAATCTTGTCCAATAAAAATACGTGGTAGATATGACACAAGCGCACCGAAACTGAGGCACTCTACGCCAATTGGTGCAATTAGACTGCAATTCTATGAATTGCTATATGTTTTCATACCCCATGATCTATATCATCTTCACATTAACTTTAATATAATGTAAAGTGGAACAACTTTTAAACATCAGGGAGTATGAACATGCGTCATCTTTATTAAAACATCATTGTTGAAGTCATTTATATACAAAATTTAGTACTTTTAACACGTTTAAATTTAGAGTTTTGTCAATCGAACATTATATTATTTATAATCAAATATATAATTGTTGTAATATAAACTAGTTAGCGATAAACGACCAACAACTTAGAATAATATAGTTATCCAAAAGCATACTTTTTGCATAATTTGAGCCTTAGGTCGATTTTGTAAAGCAATTAACATTACAATAGTACAAATATTTTTATGGGATGTATTAGACTGAAAAAGGATCTTGTACCAATGAATTGTGGCTCGCTATTTGTTTGCACTTGCAGCAAAAGCAGCTGGGAGCAATGGAAGGGGAGGTCAAGGAGATTCAAATGGAACTTGCGGCCATCAAACAAGATCGATTAGATCTGCACAATCGAAAATACACGTCGATGTACGAAGTAAGCTTCATGAAATCTTTTAAAATGCCCAAAATATAGGTTTAGACATTATAGTTATAATGTCTAAACACATAATTTAATTAATATAATTTAAAAAAATTATTAAATTATTAAAAAAAAATTAAAATGTTAACAAATTAGTTAAAAAATTTATTAATTAATAAATTTTTTAAATGTGTTAAAAATTAATAAATTTAACAAATTTCAAACTAGTTTGTTTAGTAGCTTCACCCAAGTGGTCAAGGCGGAAAAGTGTCAATGAGTTGTGTATTACTATTAATACTACAAAATTCATGAGCATTACAATAGTGTCCCTCAAGATGTATGTCATGTAAAGGGAAACAAAAGAGCTGCGAACTCGTCAAACACTGTTTCTGGACACAAGTCAGAGTACTCTACATTGTATACAAAATAGCCCTCAACTCATTATGCTCTGGCAAACGATGTTTGATTACTTTAATACGAATGATCTTCATTCCAGTTCAAAAGGTTATTCCCTAGTAAACTTAGTTCTGCAAAGAAGATTATTATTTTTATTTGAGGAACTTGAGGAAGTAAGACGATGCTGTAATTTCTGTAAAAAGATTGCTCGAAGTACATAATGTGTATAAATGTTAATAAAAAGTATTTACCCAGACTTACAGAATAATATAATCGAAGCATTCATGGATGCTTTTATCAAGTTAATGAATAGTGTAGTATTGATACTGATACTCGACTCATTTACACTTCACAACCTTCACCCTCGGCCCATATAAATCACTAGTCTTGTATTAACTGATGTTTTTGCTTTCAGTCCCGAGACTATTAAAGCTTCATCTGACGCAGAACCGGTGGGCTAACCAGAACCCACGGGTTTGGGCCCTCCGCTGTGGGTAGGGCCGCGCATGTGCTCATGCGTGCGTTTAACTACGACATGTCATCTAAGGGCCATCGAAGTTGCGGTGCAGACCGAGACCCCGATGGCCGTCGACTGTGTATTTAGCTAATCGGTGGCTGGGGGCGGTGAGAACCGCCCCGGAACGCGGGTGTACCTTGTGTACGCGTTGTGTTGGTCTCGCCGTGCTCGGAGGCGAGTGCGAACTATTGTGTTTGTTGGTACACTAGCTGTGGGTGTAGTGTTCTCCGGCGGGACCCCCGGCGGTGGGTCCGGCGTATCTAAGTCCCCTTCCTCGACCGGGTCGATGAGGACGTTTCGCGGGCGACGCTTGTTAACGTTCGCGTTTGTGTCGGGTTGGTAATTTGCTGCGCTTACCACCAGAGGGTTGGGATGATGTTCGGCTCTATCGAAGAACCGTTTGGTCAGGTCTTTAAGATATTCGCGAATCGTCGGGAGTCTGCAATCGCTGTGTAGATCGACGTTGCGTTAAATCACTAGTCCAGTCAAGGTTTGGAAAATGGCGTTTTGCGTTCGAGGCGGTGCTGCTAAATGCCACCTTGATGCATTAAACTCAATGTAGAGGCATGAGAACATATTTATTGGGATCCTTATTTGTTAGAGTTATTATTATTAGCTTAAGAAATTTGCTCACAGAAATCGGAGGAAGTGGTTGAAGATACGATGTACATTAACAAGATCCATGAAGACGAATTTGGCAAATACCCTGAGGTAAAATATCACAAGATCTATAAGATTCTCATCGCATTAGTAGTTTATTTCTGTATAAAATTTTTAATAAGTAAATTGATATGTTCAGATCACAAAATTACGTGATGATTTGATCAAGGCGAGAAATGTTGCTGACGAGGAGAAAGTGCAGAGACAAATATATGAGTCAAAATTAAAAGATCTAGAGTTGAAACTAAATAATATTTGTGCGACGGCGCTACCAACTGGAAAAAAGGTACGATGAATAATGAAATTTAGTGTAATGTCATTATATAGTTAAAAATGACTGTGAAAAATGATAAGTTTATAATTTGGTATGTCTACAGGAAATTTATGTTTCAATGAATTGTTCTATCTATATTATTAGAACAAATAATCCTATAGATGGCGACATTATGTGCGCGGCTAATATTCCGTTTATTTGTTTATGTAGACTTACTTTTACGGAGATATTTAACTTAAAGGTATGCATAACATTTCACATTGAAACTTTAAATCACTTACGAAATTAACAGAATATAAGATACCTAAAGACTGAGACACTAATCTGTATTATGCAATACCAGGTAAGATTCTATTTTGGTAGAGAGCTTTTCATTTCATACCTAATCTATGGTTATTGTTTTCATTATTTATTAATACTATTTCTTGATTTATTTTGCATTATATTTAACTATGATTTCGTTTAAGACATTAAATAACTGTTAATCAACACCTAATCCTAACTAAACCTATCGCTCATCAAATTTGGCCCCTAAATTTTTTCTTTTTATTTTTTATTTTTGGATATTTTAGTTTCACATACCGTTAATTTGTTCTTGATTGTTCTCTGCTTGATATTTTTTAATTTATAAAACAATAAAATATCTGCCATTTAGAAATAAATTACCTACAAATTGGCATTTGTAATAATTTATTTCTTGTTATTTCTTAGTCTTTGAATATTCACTGCTGCTTTTTGTTTTAATAAACGAACAAACATATGTTCATTTTAGAAACGAACATTTTATACCATTAACAGCTAATGTCTTAATTGGTATAACTTTTCGTATAGAAATTGTAGAATATTTTTAAGACTTTATTATTATCAGTTATCGTTCTTAATACTGAGATAACAGTTATATATCTTAGTGTCCGGACTCTATAATTCACTCGAGCAAACTCAGTTCAAATCCCGATGCTAGCATCAATGAGGTGCCAGCACCGATGAGGTTGTTCATTTTAAGTGCTTAGCAATGAAAGGAAATATCGTTAGGAAACCTGCATATTTTTTTTTCTAAATAATAACAATAAATGATAGTTAAAAAAACTAAAACATACGTTTCTGTAGATAGCCGAACTAAAAACTATAAAATAATTTTCAATAAATTTAAATTATGAAGTGTAATTAACAAAAATATATTGTATAAAAGCGCGGTGTGCGTGGAGTCAATTTTTATAATGTTTTAATGACAGTATATACAGTATAATGTTAAAAGTAATTGAAATATCCTAAAAAGCACCCAACAATATCCTTTGAGATAGCAATTTTTCTGGCTCCAGTGGCGGATTTCCCTATAAGTCAAGTAAGCCCGGAAGTAATGGAAAAAATTAGGGGGCAAATTAGTGCAATTTTTTGTAGTAATTGCAATAGATAAAATTAAAAATCGTGGCTCAGCAACTATGGAATGTTCATTTACGAGACGCCTTGATTTAAAATATTTTTTTTTCTGCATTACAAAGTTTTATTTCATCCACAACGTCTAAACTTAATTAACACATAGTTGACGTTGAAGACAAACTTCAGGTTAATTACAATTGAAGATTTCCACTCGATTTGTGCCGTCGCGTGTCGTTTGTATTGTTTCTTCCATTGTTCTCTATTCATGGAATATCTTACGTTTAACAAGGACGTTACATAATACATTGCACCTGCCGTAATGATTACTCACGAAGTGCCCCCGCAATAGGAGACTCGGAAGATCACCGATGAAGAAATATCATCGCTCAAGGCTCAGGTCAGGGATGCGAAGGAAGAGCTGGAGGAAATGGCGATCACCGTGCGCGAAAAGAACGAGCAGTTACAGGACTATCGGTTGAAGGTTCAGAGGATTCCGTGCTTGTGTAGATTAATTAAAAAACAAGTACACTGTAAAGTAAAATTTGCTTGTAACTATGTAATCCCATCACTATTTCTGTGATGCTCTGTGCACTATTACAGTTCTTAAAATTTGTTGTTATTTTGCAAATAATATACTCCCTACGTTTATAAGATGAACGCCTCCTAAACGAGAGCGGTAACATCTAATTATTTACCTGGAGTATTAATCACCTACAAAAACACCAGTATTTAAGCAGTTAAATACATGTGTTGCACTTTCAAGAGTAAAACGCTCATTTATAAGATATATGTATTTATGTTTGATCCCCTTACGTAGTTTCTATAATTGTCACGTGGTCATTGTCCTCAAGTTTAGGACTAATAATTACGATTTTATGCAAATGAATAATATTGTACCTACATTAAATCATATCACGGGATAACTTTTTTGTTAAGTATTTTTGTTGTTTTATGCCTGAAAGAGTACGTATATTGTTACATTGACTAATTTTTTTACATCAGAATAGTCGTATGTAAATGTACAATTAACAGTGGTTAATGAGAAGGTCCGTCCGGGGAAGTAACACGACCTCTCAAAGGCCCGGCGTGAGGTGGAAGTGTTATACTGCTAAGTGAGTGAGGTAACCGGGCCCCACTCTTTTATAAGATGGCGGCGGTTATCAATTAACATCAGATGAACCACCAAAAATGTATATTACGAGTATATCATTTTAGTACCTTCAAGCGCAGCAACAGGTTGAAGAATTGAAAAGACAATTGGACTTGTACGAGTTTGACAACAAACAAGTTTCAGATCAAATCCAAGTCGAGATACAGAAAATGAAGGTACTGTGAACGCAGTCAGTTTACTCTCTAAAATTATATTAAATTGAGAATGTAATACAAATTATTTGTAGTGTTACCGTAAATTTTCTATTTCGCTCCCATTTGCGACCCGCCTGAAGACAAATGTCTACGGCCATGCGTTTTAACTGCCCATACTTACGACGATTACGATGATATTTATCTATGATGAATGACCAGATCATTGGAGCCGGTCATTGGAGAAATTTCTTCGGAGAACTAGGTCTAGCATAGGGTCTAAATAAACTTAGAAGGTTTCAAAAGTAGAAACGGGCCGATCGTGTTTTGTGCAAAAGTGATAACTTTTGGACGAGACGTGCTGACAACGTTTTATGCAAAAGTGATGGCAGTTGGAGTATACGCGGTGTGAGACTGCAACCAGATAATGCAGGTAAGAACGTCCCGGGCCCGGTGCGAATAAGTAAGCGAACAAACGCTATCGAACGAAAGCTAACGAAGCAACTGATGGCAAACGGATGTGATGATGTGACCTACCTTGGAATGCCCTACCTACGGTAGTAGGGTCACGCAGCAGCCTCGGCTGTTGCACGAATGGGCAGGCTCGTCCGGGTAAGTACCACGACCTCACAGAAGACCGGCGTAAAGTGGAAGTATAATACTTTCGCGTTAAGTCTGGTGAGTGAGGTAGCCGGAACCCAATTTTCAAAAGGTTGTCAACGCATCTGCAACTGTCGGGTGTAGTAGATGTCCATGGGTGGCGATATTCACTTAACTTCAGGTGAACCGTCTGCTCGCTTGGCAACTTTTCACATAAGAAAAAAAAAAGAATGGGTCTATATCCACAAGAGCAGTCTGGGTCATAGCGGATCTACAGCGTTACCAAAATGTGCTTAAAATTATTCACTATTTCAATATTATTTTGTTAAGGGAAGGCATTACGTTATACTTTTAAAGTGAGTGATTTTTGTAAACTTAGATGCAGTTCCAGGAGAAATTGCAGGAGCTGGCGCCATTGCCCGATCTCCTAAAAGGCTCACAGATCCAATTGCAAGAGGCGAAGCAGATGCGGAGACTCGCCGAAGAGAGTTCCCAACAGCTGTCCAGTGAGTTGCACCGTGTCAAAGAAAAGGTTAAATCGACAACTTAATATCTTTCAATACGTTGTTTCTTTAAAATTACCACCAAAAACCTTTTAGAAAGTATATTAATTGGGGATCTTTCTGCTTTCAAATAAAAGCCCCTAAATTTTAATTTTATTCTTATATGATAAGTTACGATTAAGCACTAAATCATCTTTATCTTACTTATCGAAACATGTTGAACGCACAACTTGCGAAACATGTTGAACGTGGTTTAGGTTAGTTTTTTTTTCCGGCCACCTGCCTGACGTTAACCACCCTTGGAAACAAACATCCAGGTCCGGAATAATTATCTATAGGTCACACAAATATTTGTCTCGTGTGGGAATCGAATCCACGACTCTCAGGGCTGGTTCGATATTTATATAAAAAAATGTCTCAAGATTTTATTAAAAGTGACGCTGACGAAGATACCAATTTATATAAACAAATTACGGACGTACATTATTACGCAATGTACTTATTATCTGATTATGTTTGACGTCACGCTAAATTGTAGATAAGCGAATTTTGCCAATAAAGTTTGGCATTAAATTCAATTGTGAAGTTTAGTTCTCTAAAGGACAAATTAACGAATTTAATACAAGGTGATCGCAAATTGACGATTTTGAATGTTTCGGATGGTATATTACAAACGATATTTAACATTCAAAGCTCCTACAGAATTGATATAATGAGGTATCGTTAGAAATGAAGGGAAGCATATTCTGCTAGGGAATTGCTGTTAGTCTCGTACACCAATTTATATGAGTGGAATTGTCAAAGTCATAACATTTAGGCAAAAAATCATAATCAGGTGATTGACAATAAATGAAAAATGTTTTCTAATTGGCATAAGACATTAAGAAAACATGATACATACCTGGTGGACACAGTCATTATACTGCATACTGCGTGCTTCTTGGCAGTCTGTGGGGAGGCCTATGTTCAGCAGTGGACTATCACAGCCTGAAATGATGATGAAGTTGATAAAGATAATTCAAAATTATCATTTTCAATCACCATTACTTTTACGAAAGGCATTTATCTATTTATTAAGGATATTACCCACATTGTCCCAGTATTACTGAAGCTTAGTTATTCTATTACAGTTAGTTATGGCCGTTAACAATTACAATCAAGAGAGAGCTGAAAAGACTAAAATTTTAGAAGAAAATTCTATGATGCGGCTGTCCATCGATGAAAAACAGAAGGAAATTTTTGAACTTACCCGAACCGTGGACGAGTTAAAGTTAGTGGCGTACATAAAAGAAATAAAAAAAAGACTTACACTTTACTGAACAATAATTTTGCACGAGTCTTTAAATGTCGTTAATTGCAAGATTTCATTAAAAACTTTAAGAACAAATCATCGAAACCATCACACCTTTTCTTCTTTTCTTTTGTGTCTATATATAATGTCGACAAGTGATTTGAATGAAGTGATTTACTAAGAACAATCATGTCTTAAGATAAATAGAAACAAGGCAGCTTCGGTTTATGAAAGCGAAAGGAGAATGAAGAGCGACTGACTCAAATATTTTAAGATGCGATATTGTGTGGAAGGTAATACTGTACTGGACAGATACAAACGGTTAGTCAGCCACGCAACAGTCTTCTCTGTTTCACAAACGGGTAGGTCCGTCCGGGTAGATAACAAGGCCGCGCAGATGACCGGCGTGAAGTAGAAGTGTAGCCGGGGCCAACTTTATTACACGTCTATTATACTTTATTACAATAAAGTGGCAACACATCTGCAGCCCTACGGGCGTTGCAAAGGTCAATGGGCGGTTATCACTGAAAATCAGGTGAACCGCCAGCTCGTTTGCCATCGCCCGCACGCACAGTATTTGCCGTCCCCATTTTATGTATGCATAGGCCTTGATTGCTTACGCTCCCCCTCTGATCAGATGCAACGTTCTGAGGCTCGAGGAGAAGCTGGTGCAGGAGGAAAACAGGTACGGAGAGAGGAGCGCCGAGTGCGTACACCTGCAAAAGGAGCTCGCCGATGTTAAGGAAGAGAATAGCAGGGCGGTGGCCAGGTGCAAGGAGCGGGCCGAGTCGATGCGTCGTTACATGCAGACCCAAATATCGGAATTGGAACGGCAGCTGGTCCAGAGCAGGGCTCAATCGAGAGCCTGCCAGAAGGAGCGTGACGAGGTGAGTAAACGACCCGATTGATGTTTCTTTTCATCTCTTTTAGAATTGCCGGCCAGCGCTTCCTGAGTAGATCGTTTGCCGTGGCTAGAGGAACATTTTCAAAGTTAGCATTTTCATTAAGAGTATTGATTTCACTCGAGAGCCGTGATAGCTCAGTATCTGGGCTTTTAATTCAATATACTCGAGCAGCCTGAGTTCAAATCTCTGGTACTAGCGTGAAATTGTCAATTTTAAGTGCCGTATTATCATTTACTCAGCGGTTAAGGAAAATATCGCGAGGAAACCTGAATGTTTTCGAAATAATAAATTAACCTTACATAACTCATTCTTATAATCGATTGAACTATACTAATTTATAGATACATTTTGTGTTTGATTCCAAATCCAATATGAATCCAAATCGAATACAAGTTAAGTATATATTAATATAATTGTAATAAACTGAGCCACAGCAATGTGGCCAGGTGTATACTAGTTAAAGAAAACTACTAGTAGAAAATAAGTGTTTGAACCAATTACTCACGATGAAATATTATATGATATTTCGGAGCGTAAACTAAAACGTTTATAAAATTTACTATAACGAAAAAGGTTTTTGTTACAGTAAAAATGTGTGCGGGTATAATAATAGCAACAGGTTTGTTAGGAGAAACTGTAGGTACATACATGTTCAACCGCGTTTTTAGTGATCTAAAAGTTATTCGTCTAGTTTAAAGTATATCAATGATTCTAATAATTTAGAATTAAGTAACGGTTTAAAAATAGTATTTTAGGACACTTACGCATAATTTAATTCGCAACTGTGAATGTAAGAACGAGGATTATTCCCGAGGATCTACCGAATTCTCGAGTGTAAGAGCTTGCGAGTTAACCAGTATCTCAATAAGTATAAGATTGAAAGAACTCTACCACCACCCACTGACTCCCCCACTTCCGTTTTTATATGTGTATAGGTGTTAAATGGGTGTGGGTGGTTCGGTTCACCCGACGTTAATTGATTACCGCCGCACATGAACATCAATAACTGTGCGGTTGCAGATGCGTCGACAATGTTTATAATAAACTAGCGGACCGGGTAGACGTTGTCCTGTACGCACGACTGAAATCCGAAAACTTAAAAAAATTTGAAAAAAAAATGTGAGTCTAAATCATTCTCGATTCGACCTGGAGACAACAAAAATTACATTGAAATCGGTCCAGCCGTTTAGGAGTTCGGTGACATACACACGTTCAGTAGAATCCTTACTAAATATAAACGCGAAAATTTGTATGTATGGATGGATGTTTGTTACTCTTTCACGCAAATACTACAAAATGGATTTTGATAAAACTTTACATTAATATAGCTTATACAGCAGAAGAACACATAGGCTATAATTTATAAGGATATTGTGTGAATTGTCCAAAATATTGTATAATGGAAATGTTTATCTAAAATTTTTCTCAGGCAACATAAGGCAAACCCTGGTATCTAAAGACAAATTTTTATGTATATATCTGTCTTTCTGTCTGAAGGTTACGCCTTCAGCCTATTTTACGCAGACGTAGTTGCGGGTAGCAGCTAGCTATATATATAAAGATAACCCTTGTCATCTCAATCACCCGATAAAACTTAAAATATAATAACTTAAAATATAAATAGCGGCACTTCCGTGGAGCTTTCCTATTTGGCAGCAACGAATTAGCTGCTAGGCCCTGCCACTGTTACGTTCGTGCCATCCTCCTTTCTCATCCGCAATACTCTCCAGTCCATTACACATATCAATGCTATTTTGTTTGTATATATCAATGCTATTTGCAACACAAGCACACGTGTGTAACGAGCACACTTTTCAACTGAAAATTGGGGCGAAATAGAAAAAGAGATTTGAAAAGCTGAACCGCCCCAAATGTCGAAACGTTCGATTTCATCAATTGCTATTCAATCTCGTTTCGCTGATTGAACTGCCCTCGTGCCCGCGTGTACGTATTTAATTATTCGTTTCTATTGTGTTGCAAAAGCCAAAGTCAAGTTAATGAGAGTTTAAAGCTAACTCGAAGAGAGTGGCTAACGCCCCCACAAATAAACAATAAGAGTGAATTAATGTCCCAATCAACGATTTCAATGGTAAATTCGTTATATTGGTTCTTTTAATAAAACTCCATTTTAAAAATAGTTGTTTGATCCCATTTAGGCGCTAATTATTATATCTCTGTGTGCTAGACACCGCTTTTGATTAAAAAAACCGACTTCAAACAGGAAACTATAAAAAAAATTGTTAATACCTATAACATTTGAGCATTGCCCTCGATTTCTCTGGGATGCTATCATCAGATCTGGATTTGCTGGTACGTCCATGGTACCACCCTTGGGATATCTCCTTGCCAACAAAAAAATAATCATCAATATTGGATCATAAACGGCGAAGTTATCCGCGAACACACATAAAAAATATATAATTATGTATAATCGAATTGAGAAACCATCTTCTTTTTTGAAGTCGGTTAAAATCAAACTAAAACGATAAAAAATAAAACTATATTACAACTGGGTGGCAAATATCCTCGTCGCATTATTGCAACCTAACCACTAGTATATCTGTATAATCAGAACTGTAGGCGCAAGCGTTGTCCTCCATAAAAATTTAAATACATGCATGTTGGATTAGAACTACGGTTACGTGTTCACCCAATGAATTTGTTCCTGCCCAAAATATGCCAAAGCTAGCCGTTAAGAATTGGCTGCAAGCCCCTGAAAGAATAATTTTACTAACTTTTAACCAATACCTTGGCGCAGTTGCCATGGTATTGGCTTCGTCGTCGGGGGCGTGGGTTCGATTCGCACACGGAACAACTATTTGCGTGACCCATAAATGGTTGTTTCGGATCTGGGTGTTTGTCCACGTGGAATTTATGTTTGTAAAACGTCCTTACCACAAATTCTCTAACTCTTCATGAAATTTAATGATTTAAATACCCACATGTAAGCTTTAATAGTAAGTAAGCTTACATGTTCCGCTATTGACGATAAATGAGAAAGGATCATAAAGTGAATGTTTTCATGAACAACGTTGACGTTTAAAAATTTCTTAGAATAAATTGTATGATACTGTCATCTGTTCAAAATTTGTTCAAATGAAAGTGTTCGTTATTGTTCTGAATTATCTTATTTTTTGCTTCCGTTGAAATACTTATTTACATAGAAATTTATAAACATTCGACAAATGAATACACTGAATGCTTTGTGCACATTTCGCACGCGACAGCTAGTTGTTTCAGTCGAATTTATTTTATTCCAAAGTTCTTCTAAAGTCCTTCCCGCCTTGACATTTTTGCGTGACGTTTCATCATTATCATCATCATTTCAGCCTGTTTGAGTCCACTGCTGAGCATAGGCCTCCCCCATAGCCATGCCACGAAATACGATCCTGAGCCACCTGCATCCATTTATCGTAAGCAAATGCAATCCCCTTACTGGATGATACAGATACGCCAGAGAATGCAGATTCAGATCGGCAGCCTGCAGGAGAATTTCGAGCTAGTCGAGATCCGTCTGCGGTCTCTGCAGGGGCAAGTCGCTTCGTTGAAAAACAGCTACTCAGCCATACTAGCCGACGACGAGGAACCTGGTGATTTCGACAAGATACCCAACGTCTGCAACGACCCATGTATCGTTTGATGTTTATTCCTTTGATATAATATAAACACTGTTTTGTTACGTGTTTGAGATTATTCCCTGTCCCTTCATTCTTAATCTCATTGCCTTTAGTATAACAAATGAAATAAATCACTTTATAGTATAAAACAATTTCGTTCCGCTTTCTGTCTGTCCCTGTATATGCTTAGATGTTTAAATCTATGCAATGGATTTTGATGCGGTTTTATTTAATAGATAGTGAAGAGGAAGGTTTATATATATAATTCATGCATAATATACTAGAGAAACACTGATAATTTTAGATGTTTCTAATGCGATGTCGAAAACAAACATTCAACATTGCACCCGTGCGAAGACAGCGCGGGTCGCTAGTTTAAGATAAATTAATGTTATTGTATAGGTTAGAGAATTGTTAATAATTTCAGAATAATATTATTGGATTCAAGGCTCAGGAAAAGAAAAAACAAAAGCATTCGACAGGGTGGAAACGAGTTTAACTACTTATTACAATTTATTTTAAAACTTCAAGATGAACTTCGCAAATCATTCTTGTTGTGTCATGTCATGCCAGGAATTGCTATTAATAAATTCAAGGCATTTTGCATAATATATGTATGTACCGAAAAAATAAAATTCAAATGCTTTTTAATAATTATAATAGTCACGATTTTATGAAATACATTTCCTGTTTGACAATTATTGAAATCAAACAATCGGGTTTTCTATTTTCATATATGGTCAACTTATACAGTATTCAAGATAGAACAAGGAAGAAGAAATAACGCTTCTGAAGGTGTTGAATTAATATAATTTTAACTAAGAAATAATTAGTTTGTATTCTAATGCGAGTCCGTTACGGTTGGAAGTCAGTGCGAATGTACAAATTTGAATGTGAGTCTTTAACCATCCTGAGCCAATATATTTAAAATCTAACGGTCGACTCTCAACGCGAGTGTTACATGTATTAAAAACAGTATGATTTATACATGAATTTATACATATTAATAAATTTAGTTTTATTTATAATTTAACTTGTCTGTAGCGCAGATATACAGGAAGGCTTTTCTAAGATTGATTCCACTTTTTGATTGTGATTCCTCTTTTTTTATTAAATTCTAGACATAAATAACGTTATATAAACTAATAATAAATATTTAAAATCGCTCGTAATTAATTAGATTCATTTGAACTTATTTCAAAAAGTGCGTGATTTATGGGCAACTCATTTATTTTACGCGCGATAATTCATTACTAACACGCACACAAGTTCGTTTCAAAAGTATACGACGCATTTATGAATGACTTCAGCATTGTCAACCATTTCTGTTTTTTAGGGAATAGAATAGCAATTTCTTTGCAAAAAAAAGTTTGTTTTTATTTCAATAAACGATTATACTACCGAGTCTAAAACTCCTGTGTGAATTTGGGCACCTTTAAAAAAACCACCCTGTATATGTATTAAACAAGGAGCTATATGTAGATAAGTTTCATTGCAATTCTTCCGTATTGTTCACTTCTGTCACACTTAGAATTCAAGCTGAACTTCGCAAATCATTCTTGTTGTGTCATGTCATGCCAGGAATTGCTATTAATAAATTCAAGGCATTTTGCATAATATATGTATGTACCGAAAAAATAAAATTCAAATGCTTTTTAATAATTATAATAGTCACGATTTTATGAAATACATTTCCTGTTTGACAATTATTGAAATCAAACAATCGGGTTTTCTATTTTCATATATGGTCAACTTATACAGTATTCAAGATAGAAACAAGGAAGAAGAAATAACGCTTCTGAAGGTGTTGAATTAATATAATTTTAACTAAGAAATAATTAGTTTGTATTCTAATGCGAGTCCGTTACGGTTGGAAGTCAGTGCGAATGTACAAATTTGAATGTGAGTCTTTAACCATCCTGAGCCAATATATTTAAAATCTAACGGTCGACTCTCAACGCGAGTGTTACATGTATTAAAAACAGTATGATTTATACATGAATTTATACATATTAATAAATTTAGTTTTATTTATAATTTAACTTGTCTGTAGCGCAGATATACAGGAAGGCTTTTCTAAGATTGATTCCACTTTTTGATTGTGATTCCTCTTTTTTTATTAAATTCTAGACATAAATAACGTTATATAAACTAATAATAAATATTTAAAATCGCTCGTAATTAATTAGATTCATTTGAACTTATTTCAAAAAGTGCGTGATTTATGGGCAACTCATTTATTTTACGCGCGATAATTCATTACTAACACGCACACAAGTTCGTTTCAAAAGTATACGACGCATTTATGAATGACTTCAGCATTGTCAACCATTTCTGTTTTTTAGGGAATAGAATAGCAATTTCTTTGCAAAAAAAAGTTTGTTTTTATTTCAATAAACGATTATACTACCGAGTCTAAAACTCCTGTGTGAATTTGGGCACCTTTAAAAAAACCACCCTGTATATGTATTAAACAAGGAGCTATATGTAGATAAGTTTCATTGCAATTCTTCCGTATTGTTCACTTCTGTCACACTTAGAACAGTACCGGCGTTACAGTTGGATTAACGTTCACGCAGAGCAGGTTAGGCCACGTACCTAACCTCAATCCCAAGGCGCAATGCAAAAATCTCTTGTCAATTTACTATCGTCTGCTGTGACGCTGAAGTGTCTATAAAGCTTAACTGAAAGTGGTTTTCTTTGGCGCAGTAGTATTTCACCGTACGTATCCCATATACGAATATATCGTAGTATAAAACTGCATATCCAATATTCTGCTCGGCTACCGTCAACCAGTGTTTCAAGATGAACTGCGCAGATCATTCTTGTTGTGTCATGTCATGCCTCCTCAATTATTGCTTTCATATTGAACACATTAATTTGTGAATGTTAACACGTAAACGGTACCATATGAGAAACGTTTCTGAAAAACCTAATTTGTTACAATTTATCTGAATATCAGTGCGCTCATTATCTGCTACTTTAGGAATTTCCGATCCGTCGACAAAATGAATACTTGTTTTATAAACAGGCCGATATCTCTATCAAATTTAAAAATACCACACGTTCAACTCTCTTTGTGTCTTTGTGTGTATCGGGAGGTAAGCGCGGTATAGTGCGATAACGAATTCAGCTCTAATTGAGGGGCATAGGGATTAGTTTGCGTAGCGGGTACAATGTTGCGTGCCAAAGTCGGATATTACGTGTGGGTGCGTACGTAATGAGAGGCGGCTTTGCTTTGTCTGCAACTCACTCGCCCTTGCTCAACTTGAGGTCATGCCTCTCTCGTGCGTCTGCGCTTTAATGTCAACGTTGTACGCTCAACCTTTTTCCCGTTCTCGAATTCGCTATGTCCCGTTCGCGTTTTAAGTCTTACCCATCACTGGCCGCGTAGCATTGGCCCCGATGCGTGGTTAGTCCACCTCTTTGTTGTCCAACGCCTGCGTTGTAGCACTGGCAACTGTTTGCGAGGACGGGAAGCGGTCGTCGCTGCGTTGTCGGTGTTTACCGACGAACGCTCATTTGTTGGCGATTCAATGTCGGATTAATTGGACGCCTGACGTTAACGAAATGATGATTCGCATCGCCGTCTCTGGTTGGAGCTAATTTGGCCTAGGCTCTGTAATATGTTCGTAGTTAGTTGGCGTCGAGTTGAAGGACGTTTCCCCTTGTTTAAGTTACTCTGGCCTGTAATCATCTAGTTTTAACGCATTTTATTTTTATAATGTCTTATCTTCATTTAATTCCAGATATTGTGGCTTATGAAGAGCCTATATCCATAATTTAATCCTTAATTCCAACTTAAAAGTTATCAACTTAATAACTTAATATGCCTTATGCTTATCGTATAGTATTCAGGCTTATTAAGAGTCGTATTAGCTCATCGTCCGGGCGCTCCCTTTTAAATTGAATATACTCGAGCAACCTAAGTTCGATCCCTGGTGCTGGAAACCATTGAAAATGTTAATTTGAAGTTTTGACTTATGACGTGATCAGCAGTAAGTGAAAACATCGCGAGGGAATTTGCGGAGGATGTTTACGAAATAATAACAAAATAAAAATTTTCGAAGATATAAAAGAAGTCCACCATTCCGCAATAGAGTCGCGTGGTCGACTGTGTCATACCTTCTGTACGGAGAAGGTCTTTGTCCAGCTTAGGCATGTTAGCCTAAATACGTCCCAATGATGGGCTCTACTTTTTCATTTTCTTTAAAACCTTAAATTTTCTTAAAATTTCTTTGAATACGATAAAGAAAATCAAATAAAATCTTTTACTGATAATGCTCTTGACAAAAATGGCACACAGTGTAAAATTGAAGAATGTAATTATTGAGAAAAGAATAATCACTGGCACAAAAATAATGTGATTTCCTATATAGGTACTAACACAATTCGTGCATTTAATTGATTATATTATAAAAGGGTAAAATTTGATTTTTAATTTTATTTCTACGTAGGTACTCGAGAATGTAGTTTGTGTATAGGCTATATGTGTGCCGTATACTCGTATACACGTTCACTAAAAATGAGTCTCACCTTATATGTACTTATAAAAAATCTGAAGGTCCGAGGCAGGAAGCGGAAATGAAAATACCAAATAAAATGCATTTAAACACATATATTTTCTGTTTGATTTAAACTTTTTGGTGCTCCATTTTTATTTGTTTGTGTTACATTATTAAATTATAATTTAATACTAATACGTTTGAGGACTCGTGGAGGACGCGCGTTCCCCGTAAATGGGCAATCGGGTTCATCGCGCGCCCACAGAGACCCGGGCAATGGGCTCGGCATAATAAATAATAAGGTACAAAAGGGTTCAACGAAGTACCATCCGATGGTTAGACACACACACAGTCACGCTCCACTCACGCCGACAGTCTTACGTAACTACAATATCACTAGCTATACAGAGTATACCGGGGCCACGTGCACTGAACCATAGTTTTGTGTTTAGGTGCGTTAATTCATTCGAAGTGCAAGCCCTTCAGCTTCTTGACGGCGTTGGTGAGGTGCAGCATCTCGGTGTTCAGCTGCCAGATGAGAGTCTCCAGCTTGTCCACGGAGTCCAGAACCTCCACGCGCTCGGTGTGCGGGTTGAAGCGCACCTCGAAAGGTCGCGACATAGTCGACACCCAGCGTCTGTAATCGCGCGACCCATTAGTCAATCTCAAGAGACCCACCTATAGTCCCGTTAACCACTCATAAAATCTGACTGTAATTCTGTCTAAGACAGATAGAACTAGTCCTGAACATACAAGGCTACCGGTGTCGGCTGTTTACCTGAACTTTTCTTTGGCATCTTCGAAACTTTCGGCCACGTAGTAGATTGGCTGGTACTCTTGATCTTGGTAGGGCTGTATGGAAGTGGAGGCCGGCTCGAATGGTCTGAGCTCGGGCTTATCGCTGAGAGCGTGGAGCAGCTCTCCGATGGATGAAAGGAGAGCGGCGCCATACGCCTTCAGCTGTTGATTTTCCTTGCACAGGCCGAACTCCACGGTGAACCAGTAAACCTGAGCCGAAGACAACATATCTTACACAAACGTATATATTGCGAGCATGACGGCTTGATAACAATTCGCAACAGTTCGGGCCCGTTGAAAAGAACATTACACTATTAAACATTACACTGAAGTACGAAGTATCTGCCAAACTCACCGTAGACAGCTTCTCGATCTCTGGATCGGAAGCTCCAAGAGATGCGAGCCCAATCTCCTGAGAGAACTGAGCGAAGCTGGGGTCGGCCAGGAGCGGGATATGTCCAAGAAGCTCATGGATGCAGTCACTGTGGAGAAAGTTTCTTTAAGAAGGTAGAAATAAAGTTCGAGTGTAAAATTTACACTTCGATAGGATTACTGCGAAGACTTTATACCTATACAACTTAAACACTCATGGAATAAACGATACCACGGCCAATGCACAAAGTGCAGAAAACTATTCGTTTAATCGTGTTTCCAAAGTTTCGCAGTCAGACCGCACTATTGCAACTCCCTTAAAGTGAACCCTAATATAATGAAATCTACGTTGAAAATTTCGCCCCGAACGGCACCCAATTGAATTTTCCGCGAAGTCCTTAACGAAGTTACATTTCCATCAGACCGTATCTCGGGCAAAGCTATTTTAAGGGAATCTATTGTCTCAGCTAGCGCTTGCCATCGCTTTATGGCGTAGAGAAAATAAGCAGATTTGTTTAGTTGTCTATCTTGATGAAATGATAAATTACGGATCGTTTGTAGAAACAATACGGTCTAATGGTATTAAGTGTACTCAGATTCCTCGATTCAACAAAAGTACGGGTGCCGTTTGCTTCACTATGCAAAACGAGAAGAACTGGTTGAACAATATTTCCGTCAAGCTTGTTTTATCATGAGATTCCTTGTCAAATATTTTGTATTAAGTGTTTCTTAGTGTTAAGAATATCAATTACAGATCGGCTCAGTGACAGCTTTCTCAGATTTAACTTTTATATATAACGCGTTATCGCATTAGTAAAAGATAAAGCTCGACAGAAAAAAAATTTGATGGCTTCGTTTATAATATAATTACGATTTAACTTTAAATTGATTAAAACCGACTTATCTGTATCGAAATTATAATGTGGCTTTTAAAATGTATTTATTGCTGACCCAATAATAATTTAACACTCCGATTATTAATTGCATGCTTGAAACGTCCACTTCATCAATAAGCGTCTCGGACAGACCGAGTCCTTAGCTTTGGTCGCCTGCCGGACGCAATTCAACAAAGCCGTATTTAGGTCACATGAAGTGTCGGTAAGAGTCAGGTGAACAGTTATGAACTTGATTTAACGACACCGCTCACTATATTATCAGTAGGCGAGCGAAGCAAAATTTTTCAGTAGAGTGTACTGATTTTTTTTCAAAGGCCTTTTTGCATTTAAAACTTAGAGAGATTGATGAACATAGACAGTTAAGGCAATCCAGGTTTATTGAGTTTATTAAGTCATTGCCATTAAGTTAAAAAAAGGAAATAACAGAATAGAAAGAATCATTGATGGGCTATAGTCAAAGAATTAATACTGTGAAATGCACATTATCATTCACACACACGTTCTATCATTATTAATGATGTATGTGACGTGATGGCAATCCATTAATCATTTGTGCTTCAACATTTCCTTGATTGTCAGATTGTGTGATGTGGTGTTATTTCTGCAACTAATTTGCGGATACTTACGGCTCGGGAGTGTGGAAGGGTGAGTTCGCGTGGCGCACGTACTGCGTGGACTGGAACACGCGGAAGGCGAGGGACGCGAGGAAATCGCGAGCGGTGAGGAGGCCGGCGGCCGGGCGGAGCGTGAAACCGGTGTGCTTCCTCAGGAAGTTGCTCACATCCTCCAGTTGGGGAATGCGGTGGGGCACGAAGATGTCGGCTGCTTGCAGCTTCCCGAAGGCGGCTTTGTACTCGCGGCAGGCGTGTTTCGGCATCAGGTCGAGCACGGTGTTGAACACCCGCTGCCAGGTGGCGTTCTCCGACTCGCTGTAGGTGATGGACGGGATCGGGTCGCCGTACTTGTAACCGAAGGCGATTTCGGCTATCTGCTTCCTGCGCTCCCTGTACTCCTTGTCAGCGAAGCCGGGATGGTTCATGTCGAGTTCGGGCTCGTATTTGGTCATCAGATGGTTGCAGTTGTCGAGGTCGGAGGCGTGGCGCGGGAACCAAGGTGTCTTGGTGGAAATGTTGTTGTCCGACAGGAGGTCGACCCCGGCGAAGGAGGTCGACTGGCGGAGCGAGCGGATCAACTGTAGAAGGTTGATTCGAGACATGCTAACTTTGACGAGGGCGTCGAATTGGTTGCCCGGGGCCTGCGAGGGGCGAGTCTCGAGGTGCTCCACGCAGCCCTTGTAGTTGTCAATGGTCTTGAGGATGCGCGCGAGGGAGCCCATCCCGTCGCGCATTCTAAGCAGTAAAGCGGCTTGTTGTATAGCTTGTTCTGCCTCGGGGCTTTCGCTGGCGGCGTTCTGCAGTATTACTTCCTCCTCGGTCAGAGTGTAGTCTGTAATATAAAGTCCTGTTAAATGTAGTCCGTCATTACCATATCAATAAGAGTTATTGCCGCGCGTGTACCTCCGAGTGTAATATAAAATATGTTAAACTGACCTTCGTCTGCATTCGCAGCGTCGTCTCCGATATCTGCATCGGCTATAAAATAAATCGTAAAACGAAAAATAATTAAAAAAAAAAGTAACATAGGGCATTAAATAAGCAACCTCCAAATACGAGGATAAATTGCGTAAAGCAAATAAGGAAAATTAAACTGAGCTTTGCAACAAAAGGACATTTACCAAGGTGACCGTTCTTAGTATCGTCTTGCTGCGTACCATCTTCCACGGTTGGAGTGTTATCTTCGTTGCCAAGGTGAGTGGTATCTTGGATGAAGTCTGATTCCAAGCCAGAGTCTATTGGTGGAAATAAAAGAAAAAAACGAATAATAACAAAACAAAACTAGAAACTAAATGAAAAAATAACAAAACAGTATCGGTCTGCTGGCATTACAGAGGAAGGCTCTATTTGCAACGGTTCAGCATTAACTAGTTGCATCTTGTCACCTTAAACTTTACTCACCATTGGCGCGGGCACGAGCCTCTTCGAGCACACTTTGCTTGGTCTGTTTGACGACTAAGGTTTCGAAGCGGGCGTCGTCTACTAGGGAACGGCGGCGAGATGGATAGCCGTTCTGTAACAATGGAGTTCGTATTTTAAAGATCACGCCCTGTTTTCAAAATCATGAAGTATTTTAAGAATACGAATAGGGGTAGCATGCTTAGAATGCGAACATGAGCGAATGAATGTTCTTTATTGGTTTACAGTTGCTTAGTGTTTAAGTATATCGTTATAGGAAATCGTAAAACGGCATTCTATACAGGGCACGGGCATGGTCAACTAGTACTAACTACTACATTGGAATGTGTTCTTGTCGCGATACGTAATGTTATTTTTTACATAATGCCCGTAAGCTGGACTATAAAATGAATAAAAAGGGCGCTAATACAAGAGGCGGCGGTAAGTGCTCTAAAAATACAGTCGTCTTCCAAATCCTTATAAAGAGGTCGCATCGCGTTATATTTCATGTGCGACTGGGAATTGCTTTTACGGAGTTCCTAAGCTTATTTCCTGAGTGTAGCCGGGCGTAAAGTGCCGCCATTATTCGTTCGCCGCGCACAGCTCCCGCCGGATGCGATTTCTCTCTGGATTTCACAAAGGGATTTCTGGGCGGTTGAGCCCGAATGGGACCGATTGCCACCGTCAAGAGCACAAAAGTCTCCTCCCCGCGATGGTCTCGAGTTAGTACAACTGACTCGAATAATGGACGCTATCTTAGCGTTTAACTTTGAAACACGCCGACTAGTTAATTGGCTCTAAATCGCAGTTACTTCCTCGATTTTAAAATCCACCGCACAAATTATTTACTGCGTCCGCGATCGGCGGACCTTAATTCTTCATTCGTCCATTCGTTCCGTTTTCTATGACAGTTCTCAAGTTCGGGGAAAACAAATGGCCTCGGGCGCGTTTTTTGGATCTTGCCACTCGGCGTATTTCCTCTAAACGTCGAGGAAAATCTCAGTGCATACGGTTTTCGTTTCTGATCTATTACCGATAATGTGGCATTGAACTATCTCGATTGAGGCGCGGGGAAACGCATGTTAAATGTCGTAATGAGTGCCTAACATTATGACATCTACATTTCCTTAAAGTGAAATGAGTATTGAAATGAAAGTAATATCACGTTGAAGCCTAATTATTCTTTGCGAAACTGTATAATATTGGAGTGGGATCAGGTGAGTCGGCCCTCGAGTGACACGCCGCGCTAATACAGAGTGTAACTAAGCCTAGCATTTTCCACTACAGTGGTTACGCCAGCCCAACTATGTGTGTCAAGGGTTGCTAATCACACGACGTTCTTGTCGCACTCCTGAAATGCGCCCTACAAAGCTAAACACCATAACATACGCTCGTAAGTTCTTTTAATGCCTACTTTTTCCAGTTTGCACATTTATCGGAATCGTCTATTTGTTGTCTTCACAATAATTTTGTGGGGCGCGTAAAAGTTGTAGAGTAAACGAAATAGTATTGAGCAATACGCGTAAGCATTGCGGAAGTAATGACGTGATCGGCGCACGTACTATGAACTTAAAGGTCCGCCTAACTGGAGCGGGCAGAAGTCGGAATCCGGTTGAGATAGCCTTGGTCACCACTTCACCGCTCAAATCAGTCGCAGTTAATTAACTAGAGACGTGTAGAGCACCGCTCGGCTGGCCACCCTCCAATGGGCCGATTCTCGAACGACAGATAGACACGGGTGACAATTCAAAATTCAAACTTGACATTGATTCGAAATTGGAAACGCCATTTTTGAACGGAAAATCAAAACATCTAACGGTCTCCAGTTGCCATCGTGAGAGACGAATTAATTTCTTTAAGGTCTCTGTGAGTACGATGGCTACAGTTATTATTATAAAATATTATTATTATCGTTAGATATAATTTTAAGCAAGATATATAATCTATTTATCGTTTGATAGACATAAACTCAATATAACAGCTGTTAATTTTGCATGGATTATGAGTCAGAAATTTACGCAACGCGAGTGCCGTGCAACTTGGGGACATACAAGTTTATGCACTTTTTACGCGAATAATTTGACCGCGACGGTAAACCTCTATTGGTCAAGGCCGCGTCTGAACGGCCTCGGGATGCTTACCAACAGATATTTCGGTTACTTTGTTTTGTTTCGCGTGACTAAACGCGGTTAATAACGATATCGAACCAACTCGTTTCTCAGTTTTGAGGCGGCTTTGTTGTTTTTTTTTCTATATGCTTGGCAAAATTTGGGTGAGGTGCGGTGTGACCAGCGTCACCTGATAAAATGGCTGCGATTTTAATGGACCCTGCAGGCAACAGTGAGCGCAACACCTCGCGAGTCGACCTTCGACGGTCAAGGAAATACATTCATTCAGTTGTCAATTATAAAGTATGCGCTAATCATGACATGTTAGGCCTAGTTTTCGCACAGCATTCATAAACAATTTACGTTTGATAAAGTTTGCTGGGGCATCGCATCGCAGTGGAAAAATGAATGGAGCACTTATGCTGGAAACAATGAAATCGGAAAGTAACAATAATAAACCTAGCTCGGCCCTACGACAATTCGCAGCATTTCGCACAAGCTTAAACAGTCAAGAGAATTCGACTTGAGCAAGAACTGAAGCCGTTATTGAAAATGATTTCTCTCAATAGATATTAAACTATCACCAAGTATGCGGCTTGAATATTGACAATGGGAATTAATCTCAGCCGAGTACAATGAGTCTAATTAGAAGCATGATTTTTCTCAGTGTTTTTTTTTTTTCTCATCTTCTTGTATTCTCGTAAGATGGTCGCGCATTGACCTAACTGCATTTTAGTTAACGTTCAAATTGTTTATTTTGTTTTTCTTTAGCTTTCGTTACGTCATTGTCGCGCGTCGGGTCTGTCTTTGCACGGTGGGAAAGTGGCTAATTGTGCGCTGGAACAATGGACCGAAGAGGCACCGTCGAATGATTATCGTACTACCGGTCCGCGTATAATTAACCCGAATATACCGAGAACGTATTATTTACAAACTTGACTGGATTCATGTGTCCAACAGCGCTTTCACACGATTTCATCGGCCCCGAGCCGGCGGCGAACATTCGCGAGTTATTTTGTTCTCGTGGCTTTTAATGAAAAAAAAAAAAATGGGTTATACGGTGCGTTGGTGCACGATGGAAGGGTTCGTCTCTCGAGTCTCAATCTTCGCGAACAAAGGATGTGGATGATTTTAGACTTATCAATAACACGTAGTGAAACCCAGAGTCGTCCCGCTGTCTGTCTGTCCCTATGTATGCTTAAATCTTTAAAACTACGTAACGGATCTTGATGCGGTTTTTTTTACTACATAGAGTGATTCAAGAGGAAGGCTTATATGTTTAATACATATAAGTACATATGTTTAATACATAGAACCCGTGCGAAGGCGGGGCGGGTCGCTAGTAAGTAATAAAAACGGCTTAGACAACTGTCGCTTATGTATGCGAATCCGCTTTAATACTCGGACCAACCCCTGACATTTATTTGTTGTCGTTATGTATTTCAAAACTGTACCCGTAACTTTTTCCTTCGATCGTGTTCGGCCAGAACTGGAATTCTTTTTGTTTTTTTTAGATCGTGCCGAGATTGAATATCAAGTTTGCTGTGCAACACTTTTCTCACGTGTTAACTTTCAATACTTGTTTTATTTGTTTACAAGTGTTGCAGAGATCTTCACGTGAATCGTTAGGACTCAGTTTTCAAGTGAAACAAATGATAACAAGCGAATTGCAGTATCATGTTTTTAAATTATAAATTTTGGTTATAATTTTTATATTTTAAATATTACAAATTAAAATTCCTTTGCTACATAAGTTTTTTGTATAGCCACCAATTTATGACAAAACATAGTATGAGGCTGCGATAACAACTAAACATTAAAACATTAAAAAAAAAACAGCTGGAAGAACTAAAACGAATTAAAGCTGCTTAGCTTAAGAAAGGACTGGAGGGACCGCTTTAAGGTGACAATGATGACGATGTGGTCAGAAAAGGGAATCGCAGTTGGTCGCTTATTATAAAACCTCACCTCGATGCTGTATGACTTCTTGATGGCGAACATTTCGCGGTTCTTCTGGGCAGCTGCTACGGCCATTTCTTCGACGACACACCACTGGTTACTGTTGGGCCTGAACGGAGCGGGTTCACTGCGCGCTTAGCTAGCGTATGTCTGCGAGAGCTATCCTGTCACGACCACGGGCTGTTGCCAGTCTGTCCACGACTCGAGCTGTCGTATTACGGTAGCCAACTAAACAACGGATTGCAAACAGACCAATGCATGATGACCGTTCGCAAGAACAGTTTAAATAGTGTTAGTCTCGCGCCTCCCACCCCGCAGCGCCTTTTCTCGCGCGTGCGTCAGCGCCCGCCCCCCTCCGCGCGCCTCACGCCGATGCCCCCCCCCCCCCCTGCCTCCTCACCGTCCCCGCACAGCCCTACCTTTGCCACCACTAGTACATGAAACCCTCAGCAACACCACCTCGACCTAACAACGCTCGTCCTGACCCCTCAAAGCTCGCTTCTTTCTCAAAGGCATGTCACTAAAAACTGTTCCGCCAAATCTTCGATTGGCAAAGCATTCATTGCACTACTTCTGATTACTTCTGTTTGCGTTTGATGCATTAGGTACAGTTAAAAATTACGAAATTGCCTAGTGTAGAAGGTTGCGGCCTTCTGTAGTTTGGTTTTATATAATTTCCGTTAGAAATGGCGTTATCATTGAGTGTTCATGTGATATACACGTGTGCGCGATTTCATCCTTGGCCAGTAAAGGATATTTATCATAGATTGGATGATAGTTTTACACAAACTCAGTGCTAAAACACTGTGGAAGCTATTGTAGTACAATTTCTATAATAGACGATACTTGCTGAACGCACTAAACAAAAGCGTTATTTGTATTTTTGACGACCCAATAAAGTATTGAAATGTGTTATTGGGGATTCTTAACACTGGGACCGTGCATCGTATTAAAACTTGTTTCGTTATTGAAACAACCAACTTGGATAAATAACGGCTACAGATCGGGTGATTTATCCAAATAAACGAATGCCTGCCTGCCTTTATACAGAAGAAGCTCAAGCTTTGCCCAACAGTGGGGGTGTAAAGGCTACTAATTAGTTACTCCACCATTCAATTTTCTTTTCCAATTTTCTATTACTATAACTGTTCCGCCATTTAAGCCTAATACAACTAGGTTTTCGAATAAACAATGGCAAAGCTTATTATGTAATATGCATGTATGTTCATTCTTTTATGTTCACAATTATTTTTAGCATTTATAATAATACCGATGCAGTATAAGAAATTTATTGTATATTAATTAAACCTTTTATTTTATTGTGTTGATAGGGATGGTCAATAACAATACGCTGTTATGCCCCATTGAGCTCCGAAGTAAGAAGTGCTTCCCTTGCAAACGCTTTAGAAGTATCCTCCCTAAAAAATCTCGACTGCATTGAAAAGTTTAAGTGCTGAATAAGAGTGCCTCTCTTCCTCTCTACTCGATTAGCCGAAAATGTCTTGCAATGTTATTCGTTTGTTTACGTTTCAAAATGAAAGGTGGGTAGGTTCCGACGCGTAAGACCTCACTGGTGGAGGAAGTCGAAAGGGATTCATTGGTTTTTACACACTTAATAGGATTCGGTCTTTCAGGTCACTACTTGTTCCCGGCGCAGAACAGATGCTAGATACTCTTTGAATTAGCCATGGCTTTCATCAAAAAATTCAAAATGTTCTAGATCAGTCCCCTCCGTACTACATGTGAAATTTATACAATTACTTGTTAATTGTTTAAGATATTCTATACGTTTATGCACTGCGCAAGTCAATCATTGTACATTATTTACTGCTGTCTATATCCGGTTGATTTAGCCTTACGTAGTGTACAGGAAGATCTGGTTATCTGGTAAATTTTTGCAGAGAGGAGCTTTCGTTATTATTTAGTGCTCTTTTAGAACAACATTTAAGATATTACTAATTCACTCTAAATTTTTATTACATCACTTATATAAGATATCCGAACGATGTCGACAAAGAATTATCTCGTTTCTGATTCCACTTAATGAAATTCTACTTCGCCAGCCATCGTCCTGAGGGATTTAATAAGCTTACCGTTCTGTTCCTAAGAGCATTCGATACTAGCCACTTTAATTTGACTTTTCATTAAAGTGTAGAGGAGAATGGCTGGCCGTGATTTATTTTAAAACCCAACATTATGTTGATAAAATTTTGTTTAACAGATTCAAAACTACTTGATCGATCATAATGCTAGTATTAAAGTCAAATGACTTAAACCTATACATGAAATCGAACAAAATTTCCAAGTAAAGTGAGTGGGCTTGACGCTAGTATTTTTTTATCACGAATTAATTATGACAACACTATAGCGTTTACTTGTGGCGAGGAAGTCAATCTTTGCGTTTATTAATTCGTCTATATTGATTCAACCATATAGATTACAGCTTAGGCCCTTTGAGGCGAGGAAAGAGTTCTTACAAAAATATGTATTTTTTCGTCTTTCGACCTCCGACCATCATACCATGGCTTTAATTTATACGATTTATCGTTTAACTGTCATTCGAATACGCGGCGGACTGTTTTTTCGAATTAACTGGGTAGCGACAACTAGGAAGTAAACCTAATACTTCCTACATTATTAAAAAAATACCCGTTCCGAATACGTTCAAAATAAAATTCTGCTTGACTGTATGTTTTTGTCATTCCGCGCTATTTGATATTGGCGTAAGTATTATATAATTAATAAAGCGTTATTTGAAATAATTGCCCTTGTTTAAAAACATCGCAAAGACACTTAAAAAGCAATAAATAAAAATGCGTAACCATTTTATCATTCCAATACACGAAAGCAATAGGAACATTAGAAGTTCGTTATTTTGGTGGCCATTATTGTGCGTGATAAATAAATATTGTTCTTTATTGCAACACAATATTATGTTAAGATTCTGCTTTCCTGAGCGAGAACTTTCCTGAGCCTTGAAAAGTCCTCTCGCGCATCTACCGGTTGCATAAGCGTTTCGTAACCGCAAATAATATTATAATAAATTAAAGCGCCGTCACACGGTGTCGGACGTTCCTTTGTACGGAGAGGTGACGATCCATTCATGCGCGATCCAATTCCTACGGGCCGGTGTTGTAAAACCGCAATGTGTAACGCCAAGTTACGTTCACAATCATCCCGCGAGGTGATTCGCTTTTGTCTTTTCCCACGCTTGTGGACACAGGAAGGAAATACCCCCATGTGCGTCACAAAGCGGGGTTTACCGGCGACTCTCCGGTAGGCGGGACGATAATTTTCGGATCGACATTTCAGATCACTTTTATTATTAGACGCGCCCGCTAATTGCTGAGGAGAACGTAAAATGTTAACTTCCAAGTTCAAGAGCCACTGATATACTAATTGACTTACGTCAACGGTCAACGGGCGTCGCGTAATTTTTGTATGTCTCTGTTTATACATCGTTCGTATTTGATAACAGTGACAGCTGTTGATACGTCCGCGTTGCGGGTTTTATAACGTAAAATGGGGAATTTTTTATCGGTTCTTAATAACACTGGTGTTAATTAGAATGGAGCCTTCTAGTTGCATAGTTCTCATCGGTATTCTGTTAGTACTGCGTGTTTCAATCGAAACTCGAAAATTCGATTAAGATTCGAGTATTAATTTAAATTTTTTAAACTGAAACATGTGTTAATCATAACAATCGATCCGGTTTGTTTGAGTTAAATTGTAACATTTTTTGCGCGCCCGAAACAAGTTTATTTGGCACGTGTTAGTAGACTGTGAGGTATCGTACGCTGTCTTATTGATGGGTGGTGTTTGTGTAGTATCCTTCTCGGATTTGTTTAACTCTAGAAAACCCACGGTGCGAAATAAGAACAAGTACAATAATGCAAAACACACACGAATATCTAGTATACGTGCAAATTTGTTACGTTCTACCCGACCGTATCAGACGTAATATTTTTATTGTGGGTTAAAACTTCATAGACAAGATTTTGGTTTTATCATCAGTTGAATTTACGTAACTATAGTGACAATTTATCTTATTTTCAAATGAAATATTTCCAAATTTAAAATGTATAGTAAAACGTAAGCTCTTACAAATTGTTTGCGTTAGATTGAAAAAAAAAATCGAATTGCAATGAAAAATTTATCGTCTGTATGCTTGCTATTTCCAAGATGGTAGTGTTAAATTTCTTCATCTGCTCCGAATCTCGCTGCACAAAATATAAATTAATGATGTCGACGTATCTGACATGGGGATTCCCAACCTGCAAGTGGTGTTATAGAATGTGTTGGGGGAAAACAGCCTCTCGATCACATGGATATGCGTCATTAGCTACACACATGGTTGACAGCAATCAAATGAATGCACATCAACGAACAGTGTGTTTGTATAAATGAATTATATAAAATTTACTTATATAAAGATAGTTATGTTTATTTTTATGTATTATCTTACACGTATGAAGAATTTTTGTGAAACCGTTCCTGTAGAAATTTACAGATAAGGTTTGTTGGTTTTCTTTCACGAGTTATTTCTCTTACCATAACCAATACTTTTAATCTATTTACAATATAAGTTTAATTATTAAGACTTGTGAAGATGTACCGTCTCAATAATCCACAATTGTACCAATTCTACATTTAGTTTGCAGTTATGATAATTAATTCACAACTAAGTATACTATATACATATACTAGTATCACTAACCTTGTGACTTGGCAAAATAAGTCAAGTATTGGAATATTTAAAGTTTTGCTTAAGGAAAACAAAGGTGACAGCCCTGACTGCAAGCAAGCAAGCCTCGATGATCATATGTTTTTACTAAGGATAATGCCTGCATAAACTTGAAGAAGAAATTTTACTCAGGTGTCGCAGATGTGAAAGTATTGCACGTACCGCTACATTCTTGTGAAATTGTATAAAAAGGCTATTACATTAATTGTTCAAACAAAACATTCGATTGCTAAAAATCTATTGAAACATAATCACTAAATATTAGTGCCTATAAATACATATATATATATATATATATTTATAGTGATTATCATAGAATACTTAAGTTATCACTTTACAGCAAAGAAGTGTCCTATGATACCTCACGTAAAAGTCCATAAAGCCGCTTTAGCAGTGTGGAGAACATACATACGATCTACAAAACTTTACATCTCTCTGAGGTTTTTGAGTAAAATAATTATACGAGCAGAGACCTGGGAATAACTAAAGTCGTAAATAGTAATTGGTTAGAAAGTCAAAACAATGATGTTACTTCCATTAATGAATTGTCCAGAGGTAATTTAAGTGCTTCAGAAAAGCCTTCAAATTAAGACATTTAATCACGGGAAAAGAATTATAAATGAACAAACAACAAAGCTTGTAATTTATAATGTGGTTATGAAAAAATCTATAGCAGAAAAATCCATACACACAATACGTGAAGTCATTTCAAAGGCGACTGAGCGAGATTATATGGATTATTCACATTATATGGGTATTTTACGATGTTCGTAAACTTCAATCATCGTATTCATTCTTTATTGTTGCGAAAGTTTTTTCCCAAGATAAGGTTTGATGCGACTTTCGCGGTCGCTTGTTCCAGGTCTGCGGTAACCGAGAATTTATACGTATATATTGTTTGAAGATGACACAAATATAAAAAAGTATATCAGCAATAAATTTACTACTCTTTTCTTATTTCACTTCAACATGCGAGCTAGAAAACTTCTGCTTGGCTAGTTTTCTTTGGGCTTTAATTGCACGCTTTGTTACGTTTTGTTTAAGGTTGACAATAAAGCTAGAATAAATAAATAAAATTAATATAAACACTTAAAATATAGATACTTCTATTTTAAACGATCCAGGGAATATGCGGTATCCAGGGAACTTGCAAGTAATTTATTTCGTCGATTTATATTGGTAATTCATTATCACCCTCGTGCATTGTCGACACAAGATGTGAATATGTTGTAAGCGGTTTTGGCGTTATGTTTTACGACCGGCCGCCTGACCGACGTCAACCCTTTGAGAAACAGACGAATCAATTATTCAAATCCGGAACAATTATTTGTGGGTCACACAATACTTGTCCGGTGTAAGAACCGAACCCACGACCCTGACGTCTAAGCCAATAGCTTAGCGACGACGCCAACGAGTCATAATTTATTATTATATAGGTAATTATTGGACTCAAATATATTTCGCGTTTGGCTTGAACTAAGTTGAATCAACAAAGCCTACTTGAATCAGTAGTGAATTATTGTAGTAAAAAAACTTCGTCTTCTCAATTAGCAATAACACGTCACGATTTTGTTAAATCAATAAATATATCGAGTCCAAAAACGAAACCGACATTTCTACTTAAGCCTTCCCATCGGTAATTTTCCACCGTAAAACGTGTAAGTATGAATTAATTTTGTTTCATTTTAGTTTTTGAATACATCGATGAAATGGTTTCGTAGGTGTAGTATTCGTGTTTTAGCTATAAATGCTATAAGGTGGTTTGCGATAACTTAACTAGTTAAGTTTATGCTCCAATTATAAAACATGTAATGGATTAATAAGCATAATATTTTATTTAAAATAATTATAGATAATTACGTTATTTAAACAAATTACAAGTTTCGTTCTAATCATTGTGTTAGATTAAGTGGCGTTTATAT